CTGTTGTTCAGCATCTTAGCTGTGGAGGGCAGTGTCACTGGCCCTCATATGTGGGATCCGAACCGGGGCCCTCTGGCATCCCAAGCGAGTTCTTTAACCATCGCGCCACTCGGCCGGCCCTGGAGAGCTTTTTAAAAATTAAGTAGCTTGTGCCTCATCCCCCAGAGATTCTGATTTAATTGGTCTGCTGGAATAGCCCCCCCCCCCCCCCCCCCCCCCCCCGTCCTCTAAAGTTCCCCAGGGGATTCATCCAGGGGTTGGAAACCTCTGATGGAAGGCATTGGCTAGTCAAGTATTGCCTGGGACATACTTTATACTTTTGAAAGCACCTTTCCATACACCATTATTACCATTCTTAGGTAAGAAAATAAAGGGTGAGGAGGGTTAAAGAGTTGCCCAAGTCACAAAACTGGTTTGCACACAGACAGGAGCAGAACCTGCACTCAATTCCTTCACGCTCCACTGCTGCTGTTAACTCGGAAAGAAAGAGCAGAGGTGCGTTTGGAGGTGCAGTGGACACAGGCAGAGACCGTGCTGCTGGGGTGAGGGCAGAAGAAAAACCTCTCTGCCACTGACGGAGGGAAAGGATCCCTTCTTGGGTCTAAGATTCTAGACTAATACCCGAAGAGAGATTGCTCCTACTGTGACTGAGGGAGAAGCAGGAAAGTCCTTGCCAAGGCCAACCATAGACACAGGGAGGAGTTTGGATGCCACACGGGGAGGGGCAGGAACACAGAGAAAAATCCCCCACTCCGGGTCCAGGTGTAGGGCCTGCCTAAGACTGAGTGCAGATCAGGATCAAACAGTAGTCAAAGCCATGCGGGGTGACAGACCCAGCAGTCAGTTAAGTCTAAGGTACTTCCGGCAGGTAGGAGAGCCACACCAGGGCATTTTCTTGGGGAAAAAGGTCCCAGGGGCAGTTGTGAAAGAGAAGAGGTTATTTTAATGCCTCTCCCACCTCATGCCTCTCTCCAAGGTGTCCCCTCATCAGCTGCCTGGCTGTTGCTCTCCACCTCCACAAAATCTAGGTGTCCCATTTGGCTACAACTTCACTGTGATTCGGAAAAGTGCAAGAGGAACAAGGACATTTTTGTACACCCAATTAGAATTACCTTGGAATTCTCTAGGTCTCTTTTAGCTGAGCAGCCTAGAGCTGGAGGATATACCAACCAGACCTACCGCCATTGCTGTTAGGAGCAAAGAAAGATAGGTCTTGTCTGAGAATGGTCAGGGTAGAATCCTGGGTTTTCCCAATAGGTCTGTGTGTCCCCTACCCCCCACCTTTCAGTCCTCATTGTTAGCTAGGACACAGCTGAGATGAGGATGATCCTGTTCTGGGGACAATTCATTCAGTGGCCAATTTGTCGTACTTTAGGGAGTGTGGACCAGGAGGAGGTGATGGAAGTGGAGTCAGACCTTAGCGCCTTGTTGAGCAGCTTTTGTGACACATGATACATCAACGTCATAGTGCACCTGGTCCAGAAAGCTGAAAACGGCATAGATCTATTTCAAGGGCCACGGTAGTGTGGACGTTGTGGGCTGATTCATAACCTGAAAAAGAGTCAACAGTTTGAGGGGCCACCAAGAGCCTAAGAGAGGGATGAAAGGTGCGATGTCGTCCGTCTGCCAAGAGCCAAAGCGGGCAGTGCCCTGTGCAATGAGGCCTCCCCGACCCCCGCCCCCACCCACCCACGCACACCCACACCCAAACAGGAATCACAAGTCTGGCATACAGTGGTGTCCTCTGTGTCACAAACAAGAATGGGCCTTAATCAGCAGCTTGGTTTCCGTCTAAATGAGAGAAGGGCCTTTACCATGAGTAAGTAAGTACATCAGTGACCCAGACATTCAGTCAGCAGTTAAAGTGTGTTTTCAGTTTGCAGCTCCAAAGCGGGTGTCTTTACTCTGTCAGTTGTAATTTTCCAAATGGCAAACCAAACAGCTGGGCCATTGGCAACAGCCCAAACATCTGAGTTCTGCCCACTGAACAGGATGACCGTGTCTCCTTTTGGTTCTGCATAACTCAGGCTGAACGGTTATGGCAGCCCACTGGACACCATCAGCTTCAGCTTCCCTGAAGCATCAGTGAACCAGGCCCAAGCATTTCAGGGCACCTCACTGATTCAGTAACTTTGCTTCAGACAGTCACGTAGGAATAATTTCTCCTCAGAGAGCTAGCTGCCACCAGTTTTGTGTAAAGCCATGATGCCGTTGGGCCCAGGTTATCTGTGTTCTTGAATTTCCATTTGACAAGCAAGGCTTTGGGGTCCTTCCCACCTTGTTAGTTGTGAAATTCGAGTTGGCCCGCTCCAAAAAGGAGCCTACCAGGCCAGAGAGGCACTAGGTCTCCATGAGTCAAGCATTGAAACCCCAGAGGGCACTTCCAGGTGGAGGCTACTGCCCTTTGCCAAAGACTCCAACTAGCAGAATCCTCAGCCACAGAGATTTGTGTGGCTCCAATACCCAGAATGCAGTTTTGTTGGGGTTTACCAGCCAGTCTTGCTGGTGGAATTTTTTAGTTTAGCTAGTAGTAGTATACCAGTGTTAATTTATTTGTTTTGACAAATGTACTGTGGTTATGTAAATTGTTAACATAGTGGAAACTGGACGACAGGTATATAGGAACTCCCTACTATCTTTGTAATTTTTCTGTAAATCTAAAATTATTCCAAATTAAGATTATTTTAAAAAGTACTAGATGGCTCTCCATACCTTCCAGGGCAAAGGTCAGATTCTTGAGGACCCTTTACAATTCATTCCTCCTACCTGTTTCTTCCCACCAGCTCACACTCACATGGCACTTTAGCTACTCAGTGCACTTCCTTGACTCCTAATGCTCTGCCCTTTTTGTGCGCAGTGCCCTTATCCCACCTCTTCACATGACAAAATTCAAGCCAAGCTTAAAGGCTCTACTTCAAGCTTACCTTTCCTGTTATCTCATCCTTGATGCTTCTAACTCAGTATTAGCACAGCTTTGTTTATATTTCTGCTTAGGATGCTTCAGAATTTAACACTGTAAATGCTGGTAGTCATTTTCTAGAGTAAGAGTTCCTTGAGGATGGGAATAATACTCATCTTTGTTGCCCATTTCCAGTGAGTGGTATATAGTAATTGTTCAGTAGATATTAGATGAATGTGTGAAAAGTCTTAGGGCTGTGCTATATATGGTTATGATAGAGCTTTATCCTTTGTGTCACTCAGGTATTAAGTACTGTCGTTAAACAGACATTTGTGATTCATCATATTTACATTTTAGAATTGTATATATCTAAGCATTCTCATATATACACTATAAATTCTTTGTCTTCCATTTATGTTTTAGGAGGGCCAAACATGTGGGCTATTACTTCTGAAGAACGGACTAAGCATGACAAGCAGTTCGATAACCTCAAACCCTCAGGAGGTTATATAACAGGTTTGTGTTTATATTTTCTTTATGAATCACGCTCCTTTTTGTGTAATATCTTAGACTTAGTTTTTATTTGACTGCCATCAGATTTGTATTATTAAGTGATAAAATTCATAATAAGAAGAAATATTGCCATTTGCAACAACATAGATGGATCTGGAGAGAACTATGCTAAGTGAAATAAGTCAGACAGAAAAGGATGAAGCATAGGATATCATTCATGTGTGGGATATAAAACAAAAAGCAACAAATGAAGAAACAAAAAAACTCGTAGACACAGATTACAGATTGGTGGTTACCAAAGGGGAAAGAGGGCAGAGGGAGGACAAAGAAGGTAAAGGGGATCAAATACATGATGAAGGAAGGAGACTAGGCCTTGGGTGGTGAGCACACTAATAGAGGGTACAGGCCGTATGATAAATTTGTACACCTGAAATTTATATAATGTGATTAACCCATGTTACCTCAATAAATTTAATAAAACATAAATAAATGAAAACAGTTCATATCAATCAGAATTCTAGAATTTTTAAAAGATGGCTTTCTTATTTTACCTGGAACCATCTTAATTTGTTGTTTTGGATTTGGCATGTGGACAGTCTTTTCCTGATCTGAAATGATAGTCAAGAATTTCAGTTTCATTGTCCAGTTTCACTTGTAACATGTCTAGAAATGTTTCAGTTTATTTTTTAAGGTAATTGAGACTTTTTCCCCCCAAGCAAATTTATTAATGTGCTTTTAATATGTTGTTCCAGTTACTAGTATAACGACCAGTATTACCAGAATCTAGTAGAAATACGGGTTAGATCCATTTCATTTAAAAGTGATCTAGAATTTTTTTTATCTGGAATCTGTTTTCATAACACTTAGCTCTCTGTCTCTGAGAGGCCATATGAGCATTGACTGTTGATGCTAGCTAGCCCTTATTTTGGAAAAAGACCTCCAGATCCAAAGGAGGATTAATTTAGGTGTGTCTTTCAAATTTTTTTCTATAAATTAAACTTTTTGTCTGTGCCAAAGCACCTTAGTGCTTTACTTACAGTAATAGTATGTGTAATGGCTAATATTTATCAGATTTGTACTATTTCAGATACTTTGGTAAATGCATGATCTCATTTAGCCTTCACAACAACCCTATGAGGTAGTCACTGTTATTGTAGTCTATTTACAGATGGTGAAGCTGAGACTTAGAGAGGTTCTGTAACTTGCCTAAGGCTGCATAAAGGGTTAGTGTTGATCTGGTCTTTGAAATACCTCAGACTGACTTTGGCATTCATCCTCTTAACCATTGTAGTTTAATGTTATTTGCACTTCTATAATAATACCATATTTTGCTGTGTATAATGCGCATTTTTTTGCCCAAATTTGTGAGAGAAAAATAAGGATGCACGTTATACATGGGTAGTACTAATCCCATAGCTGTATAAATGTTTTTAATTCTTTTATTTATGCTTATGAGTTAAAAGTGTAACTCTAGAAATCAGTAATGATATCCGTATGCAAAATAATATCCTAGAATACAGTAATTGATTTTGTTGAACTTACGATGAACTTGCAACAACGAAGAATTTTTGGCCTTCTATGATAGGTAAATATCATAAATTTGTTACTGGTGCATAAAATTTCTTGTACCTTGTATCTGTTCTTTTGTAATTATTTGTTACATAAAATTTCTTGTACCATAATATGTTAAACATAAATGCTAAAATTCCTTTGTAATACAAAAAACAAGTACCTAAATGTAAACAAATAAAAATTTGAATTAAAAAATTAAAGCGAAAGATTTTTTTCCCTGAAAGTTTGGGACAAAAATATGGGTGCGCATTATACACGGCAAAATACAGTCACTACCTTACCTGATATCAAGGTTGGGATTTGATTGCTCTTCTTTTAAGTTAATAACTTAGCGTGTTACAGACTCATGGATGCCAGCAGAATACATGCGATTCCAGTGTCAAAGACAAAACACTTTATTATAATACTAATGATACCGCCAACAGCATGAGCATCGGCATGTTTCTGTCAGACTCCCTTGTCCCCTAAGTCACACTGGGACCATGCAAAGATCCCAGAAGGATGCTTCACATGCAGTGGTTGTGTTACAGGAGAGGAAAACTGAGCTTGAGGGAACCCACCATCTTTTAGCAAGTAGTAAGCAAGCTTATTCTTTGTCCCAGAGGAAAAGTCCCTCAAGATAGCTCACTGCAATCCCAATTCTGAGAAATGACCCAGGTGGAAAGCAATTAGGATCTTGTATTCTTGGCATACACAGCCAGATATATAGGATTGTGAGAGACCCATGGAGGGCCATGTCTTCTAACACCTGGTATTTTTTATTTAGGACTCTTCTAGGGGAATAGTGTTTTTAACTATAAATGTTCTTAAATAGGAATATTATCAAATAAGACCTCAATTATTGTGGAAAAACTAAAGTGAATAATGTAATCTTTTATAACTGATTAATGCATTTAACCAGTTGTGACTTTTTTGTTTTAGAATATCTCCATCTTATTAGTATAATGTAAATAATTTTATATGTGTGTTTCTGTTTAATTTTTTATGATTGAAATTAAAATTATAATAAATCAATAACACTATTATTTTTGCCCATTATTATTATTCAGAGATATTGAAGTAATTCCATTTACTAGTATGCTACTTGATTTTTGTTTTTATTGCCTTTAGGTGATCAAGCACGTGCATTTTTCTTACAGTCAGGACTGCCAGCTCCTGTTTTAGCTGAAATATGGTAAATTGTTTTCTTTCGTAGATGAACTTAAATTTCTGATAGCCTAGTTTTGTTTTTAATACAGTTTAACATAAAATTGTTTTTACTTGTAGTTTGTTTTTATTAAGTAAGAGTATTCAGCTTTTTAGAAATAAATTTTATTGAGTAAATGGCTAAAAATCAGTTGAGGTTTTGTTCTACAGGACAAATTTCTAATTTCCTTAGAATTTCTGTGGAAAGAAGATGTGTACGTTTCCATCGAAGAACACGTCTTTATAATTTGGCAAAGTCTCAAAATCTCTCTGTTACTTTTTCATTGTTTCATTTATTTCATCTAAACCCAAAATTATCCCTCTTTTCCTCTATCCCTGCTGTAAAGAAATGGTTCTTTATAATATGTAGGGTTTTGTTTTTTAAGGTATTTACAGTGAATGCCAACACCTACCCCATTTTTCTTTTCACTTGGAATATCCCCATGCTTGGCAAAGTACCCGGCACATAGTAAGCATTCAATAAATATTTGAACAAATGAATAAGTTTAGAATGATTATACTCTTGAATAATTTTTTTCCATTTGTACTGGTGGACTTAATCTCAAAGATCTCTAGATTCTATATAGACTAGCAGTATTTTATTAGAGGCTATCTCTGGTCAGTGTTTCTTAATGTACAGGCTTCAGCTTTTTGACACAAACACACATTTAATGAAGTAATGATCTATGTGTGAATGCTGTGCCATTGTTTTTATTTTATCATCATCCTCAATGGTAATGTTGACCCTACGTACAGTCTACCCACCTCGCTGTCCTTGTAGGGCTTTGTCAGACCTGAACAAGGATGGGAAGATGGACCAGCAGGAGTTCTCCATAGCTATGAAACTCATCAAACTGAAGTTACAAGGCCAGCAGCTGCCCGTGGTTCTCCCTCCTATTATGAAACAGCCTCCTATGTTTTCTCCATTAATTTCTGCTCGTTTTGGTATGTATTAATTTAATTAGCTGCATTTGATGGTGAAACTTGATTTCTAGGCATAATATTTGGGGATCAGAAAAGGATTTGTCTGCATAAAATGGCAGTCCCAGACTCCAAGTTCATTTCCATGCATGAGCTAAGGAATGTTAAATTCAGTTTCCTAGCTGGGGTGTCCATGTGTCCCCGTTTGCCAGGGACAGTTCTTATTTATGTCTGTTGTCATGACGTCAAATCTGGTTAGTGTTCCCTTTCATGATTCCCAGATGGATGATAAATTATATGATCCTCTCATTATAGCTGTTCCTAAATACTATTCCTAATTAGTTACTTCTGTGCTTTGTGTGAGTAAACAGAAAGAATATGAACAATTTTAAACTCACTTGAAGTGGTTTAATTTGGGGGATAATTTAAAATTATACATAAGTAGAAATTAATTTAAAGGTTAATTAGTCAGCTAATTTTAGGGCTAAAAGTTGAAGACTTTGTGCTAATTAATTTACATATTCATCAGAAATAACCAGTTTTCTACTAATTTTGATTAGTCAGTTTCTTATATGTGAGAAGCACTCATTGGAATGAAATATTCAATTAGATATCTCTGTATCTGAAACATGTTCCTACACTCCAGATATAAGATCTTAAAACACTAATTTCTTTCACTGTTGCAGTGAACTCTAGTGATGAATACCAAATCATTGTGTGACTATATTTATATAGTGTACTTAGTATTCTGCAGTTAGTAAGTGAATAAGAGTCATCACTTTGTTCTTTTGGGTGGCGGTGGTTTGGGGAGTGATAGAGAGAGTGTGTATGTGTGTGTGTGTAATTCAACAGCACTATATTTATTATCCACACACACAAACCCATATTTGATCAGGTAATACATTCTCTCTTTGATGATACGAATATTAAACTGGGAAAGGCTGCTTAGTTTTGTTCATAATGCTGGAAGAGAATTTTTACTCCATAGTAGGCATTCTCTTAGTTCACGTGGCTCAGAATATTGATATTAAAAGCAGTTTGCCTCCCTCACCGCTGAGTCAAAGCTGCTTTCATGAATTTTTTAAGACTAGATAGTTTGCCCACAGTGTTTCTGTAAATACTGGGTCTGCTCACTGTACTGTAAACTTGTTTTCTGGCACGTGTTTTATAATTGATTCACTAACACTAGAAATGTGTTCTGTTTTGTCTTCAGGAATGGGAAGCATGCCCAATCTCTCCATGCCTCAGCCCTTGCCTCCAGTCGGACCTATAGCAACACCCTTGTCCTCTGCGACTTCAGGGACCACCCTTCCTCCCTTAATGATGCCTGCTCCCCTAGTGCCTTCTGTTAGCACTTCATCATTACCAAATGGAACCGCCAGTCTCCTTCAGCCTTTATCCATTCCTTATTCTTCTTCAAGTAAGTACTTTATGTCTAATGAGTCAATATTTCATAGAAAGAAAGAGTTATGTTCACATTCCAACAGATAAAAATTTCCTTCATAATTTGTGATATTGTTTGGTGTGAACCTTTTTCATTTTTCTTTTCTTTCTTTCTTTTTGTTTTTTTTTAGCATTGCCTCATACGTCATCTTACAGTCTGATGATGGGAGGATTTGGTGGTGCTAGTATACAGAAAGCCCAGTCTCTGATTGATTTAGGATCTAGTAGGTATGAATACTTGAATCTTCCATCTTTCTATGCTTTCAATAAAGAGTATTTAACAAATGACTTTTTTTTTAAAGCTTTGAACTTATCCAGGTTTTACTTTATAAAGGCCAAATGTAAATACTTAAGGTACACTTATTGTATATAACTCACATAAAATATTTTTTTAATTTTTAGGATTATTAAATGCCTATATTTTACTTTTACATATAAATTAAAAACATTCTGATGTATTTTTAATCAGTCAGTTTTTTGCCCAGAGCTACGTATTGTCCTTTAACCGATGTATGTGTTTCTTAAAACATCTCATAATTGTTGCACATTATTAATTTCTTTCTTGAGTGAATTCTGCCACTTGAGTATCCTTTAATTTCAGAAAGCAAAAAAGCCTCAATGTTTATTTATCATCTCTTATATATGTCACAATAATAGTCTTTAAAATTAAAAAAAAATTTTTTCAATTACAGTTGACTTTCAATATTATATTAGTTTCAGGTGTACGGCATAGTGGCCAGACCTTTACACAACTTACAGATTTGATCTCCCCACAAGTCCAGCACCCCCACACCGTACATAGTTATTACAATATTATTGACTGTGTTCCCTATGCAGTACTTTACACCCCTGTGACCATTTTGTAACTGCCCAGTGGTACTTCTTAATCGCTTCACCTTTTTCATCCAGTCCCCCAACCCCTTTCCCACCTGGCGATCGTCTTTTTATTCTCTGGACCTATAAGTTTGTTTCTGTTTGTTTGTTTATTTTGTTTTTTAGATTCCACACATAAATGAAATCATATGGCATTTGTCTTTCTCTGACTTATTTCATTTAGCATAATACCCTCTAGGTCCATCGTCATTGTTTCAAATGGTGGGATTTCAGTCTTTTTATGGCCGAGGAGTGTTACATTGTATGTACCACATCTTCTGTATTTTATTATCTCACAATAATACTCTTGAAAGCAGTGACCCAGCAGACTATTTTGTATTTAGTAATGGGAAGTATGCCCAATCTGTCCATTCCTAGCTTAATACCCACTGATTGTATGACTTCATTTCCTTTTAACATCACTGATCCATAGTTTATAGTTTGCCCGTGTAAAAGATGAGACAGCAATACCTTTTAAGTTTGTCCTGAGGATTAGACGTAATATTTGTAAAGGCCCCAGCACAATACGGGGCCTGGCACATAGTAAGTTCTTGATATGTGATAATTCTATACTTCATGTGGCATTTGCTTTCCTAAGAATAAGGATAATTGCTTGAAGGTTTTTCAGTATCAAACACAAAAGCAATTACTACTGTATTATAGAAGGTATGATTCTTACTGTCTCTGCCTTATAAAGTTTAAATGTATTTTATTTAGTAACATAAAAATTTTAAATAAATTTTGTTGTAGCTCAACTTCCTCAACTGCTTCGCTCTCAGGGAACTCGCCCAAGACTGGGACCTCAGAGTGGGCAGTTCCTCAGCCTTCAAGATTAAAATATCGGCAAAAATTTAATAGCCTTGACAAAAGCATGAGTGGATACCTCTCAGGTAAGCAGCATATGGTGCTTAAGAACATGAGAGAGTTCATTTTTTTAATATGGACTTCTATTGAAGAACTTTTATTTGAATTGGTACTTTGTAGCTTATCTAAAATTTTAACATCCAAAAAAATTTAGCAGGGATTGGATAAGTACAAATAATGTAAGTTGTATAAGAGTTCAAAGATGGGTATAACTTGATGGTTTCTTCAAAGTTCTTACAGTCAAGTTGAGCACACAGATATACACCCAATTTTTTGGAAAAGAGACTTTTCCCTTGAGAAGATTAAACCTCATCCTCCAATGCAGTGAACACATGACAAGAGGGAGTGTGTGGGACTTAGCCTCAGCTCAGTTTCCTGAGAGACCCCTTCCTCATTGGGTCTTTCTCTGCTTGCCTTTCTTAAAACCTCATGTGAGCATGGCTCACCCATTAATGCTCCAACCCAAATATAGCCATAAAACTTGACTTTAGATCCCCATGGAATATTTGAGTCCATGCTAGAACAAACATCCAAACTTAGAAAAATGAGGATAGTGGAGGATACCTAAACAAAGGGTCATAGGCAACTAGAGTTCCCACTTTCTAACTTTCCCCACTCTTCACTCAGCAATGAATTTCAATTTAGGCAGAGTAAAATAAGTGTTTAAAAATAATAGCGTTTTAAAGTGCTAGGGAACATAGAATGGGAGATATTAATACTGACAAGATCAGATAAAACATTTTATAGGAAAGGAACATTTAAGTTTTATCATGAAAGAAAGAGTTAGAATTTGAACAGATGGCGAAAGAAGGCGAAGATTTTTCAGGGTGACAGAGAAGAATCCTTAAGAGGAAAAAGTACATGGCATGTTTGGAGAATGAGAAGTAGTCCATGAAATAGGACTATGGGGTCTCTAGTCATGTCTATGGGGCAAGGGAGCAGTAAGATTTTAGGAATTGATTGGACAAGCAAAAATATAGAGTATTTTCTTTAAAAGATTCATACCTATATGATAAAAGCACTTTAAAAACAAGGAAATTAATCACACAAAATTCAGGATAGTAGTTACCTGTTCTAGAGACATGGTGTTAAGTCAGGGAACACAGATAGATTCAAAGCATTTAGCAGTGATCTTGTTCTTAAGTTGGGTGGTAGGTTCATGGGTGACTTTTATTATTATACTCTATAACTTACAAATACACTATATTTTATATGTCTCAGATGTTACATAATAACTAATATTCTCTGTAATTTTATCAAATCATGTGAAACAAGGTATACTATATTTTAAGTAAACCCTTTTAAATTGTTTACATTTTAACCTCTCTGAAATTGAGATGTGTGTTACCATCAGTGGTATGTTAGCACTGTGTTGTGGTTTTATTGGCAGTATTCATTTCTTTCTTAGTGTTACATAAAATAATGATGGCATCTTATAACCGATGGCATCTTAGATTCTGTGAAATACGGTATTCAAACATACTTGAGATTAATGTAGTCACGATTCCCATTCTTTGAAAAAATGCACTTGTTTGAAACCTACATTTTGCATTAAAGAACTTTCCGTTTTTCATATTAACAAAAGTGAACTAAAATGACATGTACACAGATGTTCATGGCAACTTCATTCAAAACATTTTAAAAAGAAACAGGCTAAATGTTCATCAACAGGAGATAAATTGTGTATTTCTATAACAAAATAAAAACGATGAATAAAAATAAAAACTAAACAGCAATAAAAACGATGAACTGCTGATACTTGCAACACAGGGATGCATTTCACGCACATTGTATTGAAGGAAGCCTGGCACAGAAGATCCATACTATTTAATCCATTTATATGAAGTTGGAGAACAGGAAGCCTCACTGGTGGTGATAGAAATCAGAGTAGTATAGTTACGCCATTGGGAAGGGGCCATGTGCAAACCTTCTGGGGTGCTTGAAACTGTGTATCTTGATAGGGGTGTTGGTTGCCATGTGTGCATCCCTATGTAAAAACTCATCAAGCAGTGCACTTAAGATTAGTACACTTTATGTAAGCAAGTGTAATACAGTGTAAGCAAAGGTGGTTTGTGTTGGAATATGAAGGCCATGGTCTCCTAATGTTACTTTATTTGTATATGCCATATTATGTGAAGGTGGTGTATTGTGTTGTTTTTAGAGAATGTTGTTATTCTTAGATCTCCAGGAGTAAGCTTTATATCCATAGTTAAGGGAAGGATTGATTTTCTTTGAGAAGAGAAGTTGTGTCCTGGAACTGAGCATGAGCCTCAGGTGTGTGAGGATGGGGCTCACCTGGACTTATACATTATGCTTTGTTTAATGAGGGTTGGTGGTCTAATTTTTTTCCCTTTTGTTCTCCCACTTCTCTTCCCCCTAAATCCTAATCATAATTTATTTAGATTAATTCAGTGACTCACATATTGCCTGGCCTCAGTCACACATCTTCCAGGCACTCCGAGGCACTGGAATGCAGAGAGAAGACAGGGCCCGTATCTTTGAAGAGTAACAGATCACATAATCACAGAATTTGATTGATGGTTTGAAAGTGCTGTGATTAATATAGATGAGAAAGTGACTAACTCTGAGGACATAAGACACTTTCGCAGAAGAGATGACATGTGAGCTGGATCTTAGAGGATAAATAGACTACCAGGTAGAGAATGGATGGACTGGCATTATAGGCAGAGGAAATAGGATATTCAAAAGGTTGGCAGACCAGCAGTCCATGTTCCAGTGAGTTTTTCTTAGTGAAGCACTCTGCTGGCTCCTGTAGCCCTTTGTATTATTCAGACTTTGCCTGCACATATTTAAGCCTTCCACCAGGACGCTTTTACCCATTCACCTTCCTCCCTTCTTCCTCCTGTTTGCTCTATTGCCTGATGCTAAGGGATCACCTCTGTTATCTTTGTCCAAGAGCTGAAACATTAGTTATTGAGCCTTTTTTTTAGATTTGAAATAGCCTTCCATTGCGTTTTATTGAAAGAATCCTCCTTTTAACACAAAAACATACTCAAAGCTCACTTCCATCTGAAACTTACTGAGGAATAATTAATTGGATGAGGCTATGAGCTTTTTCCAGTGTTTCCTTATGTGATTCCTCTTAAAAGGCTAAAGAAGAGAATAAAAAGATTACAAAGTTATATAAACATTGAGTTGCATGTTATAGTACATGGTATGTTAGTGCTTGTTCCATACAGTGTGCATAGCTTTGATTATCCAGACCGCTGTGTCCAAAGCTCAGTGAAACATTGGGATTCATGGCATTTGTGCTACCTTTGTATGGGGAGCAGTTGCTGGGCAAGAGTTGGCAGACATCTTGCTCTCTTCTGTGCAGAGTCGTTTGGACCGACCTTGACTCAGGCTGAGCCCAGAGTAGGGTCTGGCTCTTCTGGTGCTGATGCCTCACTCACCTTCGAGTGGGAGGCAAAGCACCTGCTTTACTGACTAGAGATGTTCCCTAGAGAAGCCATATGATTTCATCCGTGGTCAGAAAGCCACAGTCTGGCTCCTCGTCAGGAGCGACTGTTCCCCTGACACAGATGGGGATTTTCTGTTCTGGAATGTACTCACTGAAGGTCAGGAAGCCTGTTACAGAAACACATTTTTATTTTCTCAGGGAGAGAAAAGTTGAACAGTTTACTGTACATAGTAAGCATTCAGTGAATGTGAGCTATTACTATCAGACACTATCGTGTAAGTCCCCATTGCACCTTAGGTAGAGGAGAACTTCCAATTACAACTTTATTCATCACTTCAGCAAATATTTATTAAGCATCTATCTACCAGGCATGCAGTATACGTTAGTGAATAGAGCAAAGTTTTTGTCTTTGTAGAAGTTATAATAGCATATATTATGGGAAAATGTTACATTACAAACTGTGATATGAGGCATGAAGGAAACAAGCAAGAGTGTATTGGATGCTAGGGTGGGCAGAGAAGGCCTTTCTGAGAAGGTAACATTAAATTGTAACTTTAGGGGTGAGAAGGACCCAGACACGCAATTATGTAGAGTTGTAGGACTTGATGTTGGATGTGGGTGTAGAGGAGAGGGAGGACTCAAAGGCAACTTTTTTATTCCTGGCTTGAGCCACTTGGTGGACAGTGATGCCATTCATAGAGAAGGGAAGACAGAGGGATCATGGTTTGGGTGAAGATTAAGAAGAGGGTTGAGAGAGTAGTTTTATACTTTGGTTTGAGATGCTGGTGAAATACATAAGTAGATTTTTCAGTTGGATATAGAAGTCTAAACCTAGAGGCGAGGTTTGGGCTGGGGATGTATATTTGGGAATCCTCAGCCTCTAGATGCTATTTAAAGTCATAGAAATGGATGTGAACACACAGAAAAGAGTGCCCAGGACAGATCCTTGGGGAATGCCAATATTTACAAGTCATTTAGAAGAGGAAGAGTAGAGGCAGAGGAATGATCAGAGAGATAAGAGAAGATCTGAAAATGCTAAGGGAACTTTTACACCCAGTACTTTGAGTTGTACTGGGTGTACAAGGAATTCCCCAGACCTTGGCCTCTAATACCCTCTGTGCCGGTGGCTCAGTCCTTCCTGCCAGTCACTTGTGTACTGTTATCTTCTGAAACGAAAGGGGAAGCATTTGGCTCCACTGAATCTAGATTTTCAACTCCTTGGGGGCAGGGAATGTGTTTCTTTTGATTTCTACTGAATGCTCAGTGCCTGGCACATGGTGGAAACTGATGTGAAAATTAAAAGTTCAGCATAGCAGCAGTGTTGTTTTACAGAGATAGTTATTTAGGTTTGCATAACTTTAAAGAGGCTAAAGAATTTTCTCTTTTTAACGGTTTTCCCACTCTTATCAGGTTTTCAAGCTAGAAATGCCCTTCTTCAGTCAAATCTTTCTCAAACTCAGCTAGCTACTATTTGGTGAGTTTGTCCATTAATTACGATTTTTAACTGTACATCCTCTATTATAAGAAGAATATTGTTTCTATAAAAGTTTGTGACTCAAAGATGATCTGTAAAAGCAGCCAACTGAAAGTTAATACAACCTTGAAAGCAAATTGAAGTGTGCAAAATGTTATTCTTTAGTTGGCATTTAATTATTTTACAAGTAAAACTAGTTTGCTTTTATATGCCTTCTATGAAGAATTGGAGAATATCTCCTTTTTAATGCAGAACTAAAAGTGATTTGATAGGTGAATTAACCATGGAACAAGACAAGCCACCTTTTCAGGAATATTTTCCTTTCTATTTCAAAGTTCCTTCTCTTTCTTTTGTGATATGAAATTAAGGGTGAAAATTAGCTCACTTTTCTGTATGTTTACATTTCAATAAAATACATTATCCTAGCTGTTTTACTATCATTATCCTTGCTTTAAAAATAAAAAATTGAAACTTTTGTGAAACTGTTTTACTCCAAATAGACTTTCTTTCTAAGTTGTGAATTTTCACATTTTCCTCAGGACTCTGGCTGACGTCGATGGTGACGGACAGCTAAAAGCTGAAGAGTTTATTCTTGCTATGCACCTCACTGACATGGCCAAAGCTGGACAGCCATTGCCCCTGACTTTGCCTCCTGAGCTTGTCCCTCCAACTTTTAGGTGAGTGCCCCTGGAGGTGGACAGGGTGGTGTTGATCACGTGGCAGACAGGATTATTGCTTTGGGATTTCCTCTAGTGTAGTGGAGTTAAACATTTACACTGCCATTCAATTTTGGTATTTAATGAATTACCCTGGGAAGGAGTAGAATTTGAAGTAGGTATGTTTCCACCATGTAACAGATAAGGAAATTTGTGACGAAAGTGATTAAGTGTAATCTTACCCAAGAGTAGTGATGGCTGAACCATGATTTGAATCTAGATCTCTCTGACTTGACAAGCCATATATTGTTGTACATTGTAACTACAGACCATACAGTGTTTTAAATATCTTTAATAATATATTCTAAATATTGAATTGCTGTAGTCATTAACAGTCTATATACAATAGTCTAGTCTAAAATTTCCCAGACAGCCGTATGATAAATTTGTTTGTTGTTTGCTTTTCTTAGAGGAGGAAAGCAAATTGATTCCATTAATGGAACTCTACCTTCATATCAGAAAATGCAAGAAGAGGAGCCTCAGAAAAAATTACCAGGTAACATTGAGTGTCTATGTTTATAATGAGTTCTCTTAAATTTTACCTTGAAATATAAGTGACTATTTAGAAATTTTACATTCTTAATATTTTATATGCTATATGAGAAACTATTTGATGAATGGGATGGATGTTGATTTCAATAAAATTACGATCGTCAAAATTAAGGGAGTATGTAGGAAGAAGTGACAGTGTGTGTGTTGGTAAGAGTGTGTGTATTAGATACCCTAATTAAAGTGTTTCTCCCACTTTAAGAAAAATTATTAGAGCAAGCTTTATGATGACATCCTTAGCTTTAAAGTTTAAATATTGGTTGAAAAAATACATATGTGTAGATATTTTAAAATGTCAAGAAGTTAGTGACATATGCATATATCAAATAAAACAAGTCTATACTGGTTGTCCTTGAAGAAAATGCTGAGAAAAATGTTGAAAAGTATTTTTATTGGCAGGAATAGTAAAATTATTTCTCTCATGGGCGGATTCAAACTTAGACATTGTTTTCTAAGAATATTAAAATGTTGACTATTCTTAGGAGAACGTCAATATTTTACTATTTACATATGAGTTAAAATTATCCTTAGGAGAAGTACCCAAAGAGTAATAGCACTCAAAGGAACCCAAGGCATGAGTATGTTGAAACTGGATTGCAAGCTCTGTGGGCTCTTGGTTAATGGGTGAGAACGCTGACAATACACCTTCTTTAGTTACTTTTGAGGACAAGCGGAAAGCCAACTATGAGCGAGGGAACATGGAACTGGAGAAGCGACGCCAAGTCCTGATGGAGCAGCAACAGAGGGAAGCAGAACGTAAAGCCCAGAAAGAAAAGGAAGAGTGGGAACGAAAACAGAGAGAATTACAAGAGCAAGAATGGAAGAAACAACTTGAATTAGAAAAACGCTTGGAGAAGCAGAGGGAATTGGAGAGACAGCGGGAGGAAGAAAGGAGAAAAGAGATAGAAAGACGAGAGGTTGTTTTTAAGTTATTTTATTTCTTTAGAAAATCATTACATTCATAATAAGTGGCTACATTACATTTGATAAAAATTTGTTGTTTTTGTTGTGCCTTTTCCTCTGCATCATTCATTCATATTATTTTATACAGATCTGAGTCTTGCTTGCGAGGGGTTTTCAGGGCCAATAAGTGCTAGAGAAATCATGTCTGCAGGTGACACTCAACCAAAGGAGGGTTGATGGCCAAGCTGAGTCGAGTGAGGGGCTAAGGTTAGTGAGCCAGAGGGAGGAGTCAGTTTGATCAGGTCATTGAACAAAAGTAAGCTTAGGATCCAGAGTAAGAGACCAAGAGTTGGAGAGGCAGAAAGTTGCGAGTAGGGGTCAAGGGCTAGAGAGGAATCAGGAGGCTGGCCTTGTGCTGGTCCTTGGGATAAATAGTGCTGTGTGGGGTCCCTAGCTGTGTTTTAAAAGTCTGGGCATGGAGCACAGTAAATTATGGTGGTACTGACATAATATGAATAGAAGTTGTTTTCTTCCTTGGTACCAGAATATGTTCTTTTAACATTTATGTTTATGAAATCATCCTTTCCTTTTGTTTGTTAAGAGAAAAGTAACTACAATAAGAAGAGTGTCCTGTGACTGAATCAAAGAGTCGGGTGTATGAAGTCACTTTTGTGGAAATGGTGTGCTCATTGAGGCCCCTTGATAAAGCTAGATTTGCCCAGTTAGTCTTAGGCACTCAAACCCACTAAGTGATAAATGCTGTCTCACTTTTATCTGTGTCCTCCCATCAGTTTTTGAATGATGCAAAATTGTTCATTTAAAAGTTAACTTTAAGTCATTATTTTCAGGCAGCAAAACAGGAACTTGAAAGACAACGTCGGTTAGAGTGGGAGAGAATTCGTAGACAGGAGCTTCTCAATCAGAGGAATAGAGAACAAGAAGAAATTGTCAGGTTAAACTCCAAGAAGAAGAGTCTTCATCTGGAGTTGGAAGCACTGGTATGGCTAAAGTTTAAGTCAAATTTATCAGAATGATGCTGGAGTTACCTGTTGAAAAATGTCATTGTTTTTTAAATCTACCTCATGAATACTTTATGTTTTAATGCAGCTAAACAGTTAAATTTTCATATGTGCTTTTTTTTTTTTTAGATTTTTATTGGGGAATTGGGGGAGGGGAACAGTGTTGAGGAATTGGGGAAGGGGAACAGCCAAGTTGTTGTCCTTCAATCTTAGTTGTGGAGGGCGCAGCAAGCTCAGCTCAATTGCTGTGTTCAATTAGTTGCGGGTGGGCATAGCCACCATCCTATGCGGGAGTCTCCTTGCGAAGAGTGCACGCTCTATCCACTGAGCCGTCCTGGCGGCAGCTCTGCTCAAGGTGCCAAGTTCAGTCTTAGTTGTGGGTGGGCGTAGCCACCATCTCGAACAGGCAACCTTATTGTTAGGAGCACGTGCTCTTACCACCTGAGCCATCCTGCCACCTGTTGGCAGCTCAGTGGCTCATGTGGGAATCGAACTGGTGACGTTATTGCTCAGAGCTCACACTCTTGAGCAAGCTCTTAACCAACTGAGCCACTTGGCCGGCCCCTCATATGTGCTTTTTAACTGGACAGTATAGTTTACTAATAAAAGGATAGTGACTCAGTATGCTGAGAATTATGTGTGGTCTCAGTTCAGATGCTGACAAGCCATGTACTCTTGGACAAGACATTTCCCTTCTTTGTGCCTTACATTGCTCATCTGTAAAATAAAATGTTGTGCTAGTTCAGTAATTTTCATTTTTCACGTATGTTTCTGGAACATCGCCTACAGAGGAATAACCAGAAGGTGGGAGAGAGGAAGCCATGATGGTGGACAGTCTCGTCTCTCCCCAGATCTTCCCACACTTCACATCAGAGAAGCTCCACATTTATCTGCTTTATGTTTACTGGCATTTTTTCTAAGATTTGCTTGGAAAAAAAGGTTTCTACTGCTAAAAAGAAAAATTTATTTGAAACTGCTGACCTAAATGATCTCTTACTCCTGCCAGTTCTGCAGGACTGTGGTTATTAACTAATACCAGCCACTATACTTACTAGTTTTTGCACCTCAGATGTCAGAGGGTCAGGTTGTTAAAAGACTTTGTATGACATACAAGGTGAGACGGTAGAAAGGACCTGGGTAAGGCATACTATTCTACTGTGACCCTAAAATCCCATAAGTCTGATCTAGTAGTTTAGTAAGATTTTGCAAAAATGCATATGTAGCCATGTGGTAGAGCCAAATTTAGATCTTATTTAATTATAGTCTAACATTTTATTTGATTGATGATTTGAATTACATTTTAAATATTATCACAATATTTTTCATCAGAAAGGTAACTTTTATATCTTTAAATGGATAGGAAAGAATACCACAATTATTAATCATTGCCATGGTAATACAAAACAGGCCTAAAAACCTTAACTTCTTTGTGTAGCTAACTGGATATCTGTCTGAACCATCATCTTAACTATATATTTTTCCTTAAAAATAAAATGGGAGGAGACCTTAAGATTGATTATTTTTCCCCCAAGAACTAGGGTAATGCATCAAGCAGTAACATAGCTTATTGTGCCAAGTCTGAAAAGGTCCAAGCCTGCACTTACACATGCTGAAGATGATAATGTGAGCTCTAGGATGGACACGGCATATTCCTTTTAGCATGTATTTTTCAAATATGAAATTTTGATTATCAGTGATTTATTACCAGGTGTCTCATTTCTCCTCATTCTACTGTATTAGTTTGCTAAGGCTGCCATAACAAAATGCCATAGACTAGGTGGCTCAAACAACAGAAATTTATTTCCTCACAGTTCTGGAGGCTGTAAGTCCAATAGCAAGGTGTTAGCAGGTTTGGTTTCTTTTGAGGCCTCTTTCCTTGGCTTGCAGATGGCTGCCTTCTTGCTGTATTATCACATGGTCTTTCCTCTGCCTGTGCATCTCTGGTGGCTCTTTTGTGTCCAAATTTTCCCTTCTTATAAGGACACCAGTCAGATTGGATTAGGGCCCACCAATATGACCTCATTTAAACCTTAATTACCTCTTTAAAGGCCCTTTCTCCAAATACAGTCCCATTCTGAGGTACTGGGGATTAGGACATGACATGAATTTTGAGGGGAACACGTTTCAGCCCATAATATTTTACTCTTCTTAGACTCCACTGACAATCTCTACTCTCTATTGTTGTTTTTTTCTTTTTCCCTACTTCTAAGAAAAAGGAGAAAGGAATATTGTTATAGGAAAAGAGAATTGTGGCCAAAAGGCCCTCCAAGACATTGTTTGATTAGAGGAAATTAGATGGCAACATTGAGGGTAAAAACAGAAGCTCAGAGAAGGTAATGCTAAATGCCACATGCAAAATTTATTCCTCCTCATTATTTGAGATTTTCTCTATTTTAATGTCGTAAATTTTTACCTAAATGCTGAACTTAGAAAAAAATTCAGTGTGTTATATTTGTGCTTTTTTATCTTAACATCTGGGGTCTTGTGCCCTGAGAATGATACATTTCCTGCTAACAACTCTCTTGAGTCAAAAGATATAACTCTAAAACATATTCCACTTGGTTTTAGACCTTTATCTCAGACTGAGTATAAATGACATTAAAAATTTTTATTTTCCCAGTAAGAATATTCTCTATTAGCATTTTATGTTACTATATATTTATATGCTCTTCCTATAGAATGGCAAACATCAGCAGATCTCAGGCCGCCTTCAAGATGTCCGACTCAGAAAGCAAACTCAAAAGACTGAGCTGGAAGTTCTGGATAAGCAGTGTGACCTGGAAATTATGGAAATCAGGCATCTCCAACAAGAACTTCAAGTAAGTTCTTTGCCGCTGAATTGCCCTTAAACATGAGCAGTTATTAATAATTCTTTCTAATAGAATGGTTTTGAATTTTGGAACCATGAACTCCTCTGATGGATGTGCGTATATACAGTCTTATATATAATATCAGGAAGCTCATAGACCCACCAAAATTCTGCTAGACATCTGGTTAAGTTCTGCTTAACATTTATACATAAATGGACATTTATAATTTTAAGGTTTCTTTTTTGTTTGTTTGTTTTTGGTTTTTTTAAAGATTTTATTGGAGAATTGGGGGAAGGGAACAGCGTTGGGGAATCGGGGAAGGGGAACAGACAAGTTGCTGTCCTTTTGTTCTTCAGTGTACTTGTGGAGGATGTCGCTTCACTGGCCCATCTTGGTATTATCATTGCACTATTCCCGGCTGAGGCAGATTGGTCGCCGGATACTGGATGGCCGCTCACGGTGGCTCTTGGCAGCTCACGCCAGCTGCCAGCCACTCACGGTAGCTTTACGGCAGCCCACTGCAGCTTCACTGCAGCCTACGCTGTCATTGGCGACTCACAGCAGCCTAGCTCCAGGTCGAGCTGTTCACCATCTTAGCTGTAGAGGGCACAGTGTCGCTGGCCCTCATATGGGATCCGAACTGGGGCCCTGCTGCTCAGAGCTGGCATCCCAAGCCAACTCTTAACCAACGCGCCACTCGGCCAGCCCTATAATTTTAAAGTTTTTAGTAAATAAATATACATATCACATGCCCCCCCCGACACACACACACACAAACACACACATTACACTACATTATTGCTACTACTTTTAAGAAATTTTACCTATCATTATTCTTTTAAGAATTGTGGTGAGGGTCGGCTGAGTGGCGCGTTGGTTAAGAGTTGGCTTGGGGCGCCAGCTCTGAGCAGCAGGGCCCCACTTCGGATCCTACATGAGGGCCAGTGACGCTGCGCCCTCTACAGCTAAGATGGTGAACAATAGCTCAATCTGGAGCTGGGCTGCTGTGAGTCGCCTGTAGTAGGCTGTAGTGGGGCTGGCCAGCAGCGGGAGTGAGCTTTCGTGAGCTGCCCTGAGCCACCGTGAGTGGCCGTCCAATGGCCAGAGGCGTCCAATGGACTGCCTCACCCGGGAAGAGTGCAATGATAATACCAAGATGGGCCAGTGAAGCGATGTCCTTCACAAGTACACTGAAGAACAAAAGGACAGCAACTTGTCTGTTCCCCTTCCCTGATTCCCCAACACTGTTCCCTCCCTCCAATTCCCCCATAAAAATCTAAAAAAAAAAAGGAATTGTGGTCAGAATGTTGAATATGCTCCCTCAGGGACCTGGTAATTCTGTTCTTTACTTGTGCCTTAAGATCTAGTTCACTCACTATAGTTTGCAGAATCGGGACTCTGGAAGCATTCTGTATGTCTGGAGTCCTCTTCTCAAACTTCTCTTTCTGTATGGACTCACAATTAATTAGTTTTTTTCACTTGGTCATAGTAGATATAGGTAATGGCCAAATAATATTTCCTATCTGATTTAAACCTGCTTCCCTAGTTCTCCCTGAGTCTTTAGTCCCTCATTCTTGAGTGTCATGGCCTGCTTAAACAAACCATTTAGCACAGATATCAAAGGCACCTCTTAGCTTGGGCCCACTGCCACCCATCAGTCTGCTGAGAATTGTAAGGCTTCCAGGTACACCCATTAACAAAGGCTTCATTCACCACCTTTTAATTCCAGCCAGTCATTCATAAGAGGATTTCTGTTTAAATATGTGTACTTCCATTTGAGTTTATTCATAAGTTGTGAGCAGTTTACATCTACATTTTATTCCTATATTGTTCAAAAGTGATTAAATCATGTTTTGAAGTTTTCAAAAAATTTGCAGAAAACAGTTTTAATCAGGCACTATCTTTTCTGTTTTTATAAGGAATATCAAAATAAGCTTATCTATTTGGTACCTGAGAAGCAGTTATTAAATGAAAGAATTAAAAACATGCAGCTCGGTAACACACCTGGTAAGTCGCTAAGGTTTATTCTTTTCCTAATGACTGGATGATCATATTCTGTTACTTATTCAAATAGCATTATTCTGTTATAAGTAATGTGTATTGTCTATAGTTAAAACTTTCAAATTAATGTGAAAACTGTCACAGATGTTAGAGTATTTTAGTAATAAAAGTATATAAAAATACAATAAGTAATTATGGTATGTCTTTCTATCTTGGTAAGATTTTTATTCATATATTTCAAATGTCAATCAAATAAAATGTTAAATTTTTTACAATTACAATTAAACAAGATCTAGGTTTGGCTCTAACACAAAACTGTATGTGCATTTTGGTAAAATGCTGCACTAATTGTAAAGAACTATTTGGGTGGAGACTTTACTATGAAACCAAACCTGTGGGATTCTGGGGTGACAGTGGATAGTAATGGAGGGCCTAAGCACAACAGTATGCCCTTCCCAGACCTTGCATATCAACTAATGATTCGTAGAAAGAATTTTACCAGCATAGCCCTCTCATACCTGTGGAACAAAATATTCTAAGATAATTTGTGGGAATGTAACATTTTTCTTGATTAAAGTTCCAACCAAGAAACGGAAAAAAAAAAATCTCTACATTGGATAGCATTGCCAATAACGTAGCAGAAGGATTTAAAGAAAAGTCAATCTTCAAATGTTGCGTTAGAACTAGCTAAAGTATCCTAAATGTTGAGTGTCTGTCAGTCTTTCCATTCCAGAGCTCTTTAATACACTTTTGGCTATTTAGGAGGTCCATTAATAGCATCCCTCTTTTTTGCCAACGTTCTGAACAAACTGAGAAATAAGGCAAAGGAACAAGACATGTGAGAGACCAAACTGTCACCTTATATTGATAAAGCTGACACTGGACAGCGTGGCTTATCTGTGAGCTGCACCTGTAAAACACTGAGTGCATGAACAAAGTAAAAAGCAGGTTTCCTGAGGGCAGTTCAATCTCAAGAAAGCAAGAGATGGCAAGGGCCTAGGCTGTGTATGCCAGTTCATTTATCTTGTGAAGGGAATGGGAAGAAGCTGGCAATACTGTGCTAGTGAAGGGCTCTTTACTACAGGGAAGAAACACCAGGAATAGAGAGGCTCACTCTTATGAACTAGTCTTAATTATGTCTTCCAATTCCACTGCTATGGTCTGTCTATGTCTCATCTCAGACAGTTTTCCTTGCGCATGATTCTTTCCTTGGCTGGTTAGAGTGTATCAGCTCCACCTCACCCCTCCATAGGCATTCCAGGGGCAGGGTGAGCCAGCCCTCCTGACCTGTGCAGTGGCAGAAAGTATACCATCATCCTAGTCGTCGTTAGTATTTGGATTGTGAATGGCATATAGAATATGTCTTATTGGCGACGTGGTAGAGCTACTCTTTCTCTATGGAATGTGATCCAATTCAGCTGTTATCTACCTATCTATCCTGTAGTACAATTCAAAATAGGAAACTTTTGTTCAGAATTTGGAAAGTGCCCTTTATCCCTTAGTTTACTCTCTCCTTTACAGTTACCATTTAAGATTACCAACCATGTGCCAAGCACCATGCTAGGTAGTTTTTGTGCATTATTTCCTTTAATATTTACAACAGCCCTGTGAGGTAGTTGCTGTTATTCCCATTGTGCAGCTCAGGAAGACTGAGGCTCAGAGAGATTAAGTGGTTGCCCAAGATGGTGCAGTAGTAGTTCTAAAATTCTTACCTGTCTGACTCCGAATTCACTGTGCTACCATGTTGTCTCTCTGTCTTTCAGTTACTTAACACAGTGCTCATAGATATGATATAATCAAATTCAGTATTAAAACATCCTTTATTAGTGATGTCCGTTTTGAAAAGTAATAAGAATGTATATTAACTGTTATTTTTTTTACATTGCTTATCTCTCAGCTAGACTCTGAACTACTTGAAGATAGGGTGCATGCCATATCCTTTTTGACCTGCCATTGAACATGGTCCTGTTCCTCGCCTATAGTAGATGTGTGATTTAATGATTAAATCTTTGTTGAACACTGGAAAAGTATTAGAATTATGAGAGAATTTAATAAGGTACCTGGATAAAAAAATAAGCATATAAAGATCAGTAACTTTATATACCAAAAGTATTTAATTAGAAAATATCATGAAGTAAGGTTTCATTTACATTACCATTTTCACTGTTATGAATAAAGAAGAAATGTACAGCTATAAATTTTTACTCATAACAGATTCCTGGATAAGAACGTATTATGTTCCTGAACGAACTATAATACTGATATTATAAAGATGTCAGTTCTCTAGTAATTCACCCATATATTCAGTTCTATTCATACTTCTTTAAATAAAACTTGTCAATATACTTCACAAATTTACCTAGAGGTAAAAGTGTGCAAGATTAGGCAAGAATTGAAAAGAAACACATTGGTGAGAGAAGAGACTAACTCTACCAGGTATTAAAACATAAGTTATGAAGTTATAGCCCCTACAATAATTGATCAGAAATAGAAACAAAGAACATTGGAACTGAATAGAGAGTCTAGAAACAGGCGTGCGTGCGTGTGTGTCTGTGTGTCAATTGGGATAAGATAAAGTTGGCTTTTAATGTCAGTGGGAAAAGGATAGGCTTTCATTAATCACTATCACTTTAGTAAGTGATTTGGGGGACTGTTGATTATCTGAAGGGGGGTGAAGAAGCTCTTTACGTTATTCTATGTACAAAAATAAATTCTGGATAAAATCAGAGGCTAAACATTGAAAAATAACTCCAGAAAAAATACTGTAAACAAGAAAACATTTTTATAATCTTGGTGTCAGGAAAGTCTCTTCAAACAACACATACAGCTATGAAGGAAAATATTTACAGATTTGATGACATAAAAATGAAAAACTTTTTCATGCTGAAAGATGTTATAAACAGTAAAAATGTTGGGGCCGGCCAAGTGGTGTGATGGTTAAGAACTGGCTTGTGACGCCAGAGGGCCCCGGTTCGGATCCCACATATGAGGGCCAGTGACACTGCCCTCTACAGCTAAGATGCTGAACAACAGCTCAACCTGGAGCTGGGCTGCCATGAGTTGCCCTGGAGCTGGGCTGCCATGAGTTGCCAGCAACAGCTAGTCTGCAGCCCCTGCTGCAGTGGGTTGCCATGGGCTACCGTGTTGAGCGGCTGTCCAGAAGCCGGCGACTGATCTGCCTCACCCAGGCAGAGCGCAGTGATGGTGCCAACTTGGGCCAGTGAAGCAACATCCTCCACAACTAGACTGAAGAACAAAAGGACAGCAACTTGTCTGTTCCCCTTCCCCCAATTCCCCAGCGCTGTTCCCATCCCCCCAACTCCCCAATAAAAATCTTAAAAAAAAAAACACAGTAAAAATTTTTGAAATACATATACTACAACAAGAATTAGGAGCTTTTACAAATCAGAAATTAAGACAACCCAATAAGGGAAAAAAAATGGGCAAAGGATGATATGAGGCACTTCAAGATGATGGCCAAAAAACATATAAATAGATGTTATTTGATTTCAGTAGTTATAAAGAAAATGGAAATTAAAATAAGATTTTTTTTTTTGCTAGTTAGCAAAAATGAAAAACGATGATATTCAGCATTGATGAGCATATGTAGAAACAGGTACTTGGGTGTCATTGTATGTTGGTACAGCTTTTTGGAAGGGCAGTTTGGCAGTTTCTGTCAAAATAGAGTTAAAATCCTCTTACATGGCAGCTCTTTCACTTCCTATATAAAATGCTTTCACATGTGCACTAAAATGTATGCACAAGGATATTTATTGCAGCATTTTTATGTAATAGTAGAAAATTAGAAACAACCTGAATGCCAATCAAAAAGGGAATAGTTACATAAATTATGGAATAACCATAATGTAGATTACCATGGAGCAGTTTTCAAGAATGAACTAGATCTATATGGCTTGATTGATAACATACGTTATTAAATTTAAAACAAGTTGCTGAGCAATGTAGACAGTGTGATCCCATTAAAACCCCATGGAAATAAATGTTGATTATGCACATATCTAAATGTAAACACCTAATGAGAATAAGCCGAGGGTTGAGATGAAGGGGACTTTTTCACTTTTTTTTCTATATGCTTCGTTTTATTTAAATTTTATACTAGATGTCTGTACTTTTAAGCACAATAAAGTTTTAAATATGTATTTAGATGGTAAGATTGCCATTTTAATTTATTGTAATGTAATCTGCATCATTTATTTCTATTTTGTTTCTCCATCCCTGCCTGAATATGTAGGAAAAGATATTATAAAAGAAGCCCTCTGTTCTTACTGCCTGAAATAACATTACTAAATAATCCAGTTAGTATTAGTTATTGAGTCCTTGCTGTGAATATTTCCCTATTCTTGAAAGCACTAAGAATAAATAGAAAGCTACTTTAACAGTAGCTGCTATTAATTATTTACTGTGAGCCAGACTCTGTACTAATGGCTTTATATCCATCACTTCATAAATGAGGTAGGTGATGTGATGCCCAGTGTATAGAGGGAGAAGACCGGTGAAAACGCCTTACCCCAAGTGAAGTGTCACTTCACGTCCTGGTACTTAGAGTACAGAACCAGTGCTTACAACATTTCCATATCAGTATCTTCCCAGAATATGATATGAAAAAGGGAAATGACTGCTGAGTTTTTTTATTTTTAGCTGACCCACATGATGCACGTACATCCTTTATCTTTCTCTAGTTATACCAATTTGACCAGACAGTAAATGTCAATTACTGGTAATGACATTTCTACCAAATGTAAACTGCCTGATGTTTGTATTTCAGATTTAGGAATGGGTTTACTTCATAAAAAATCACTGGAAAAGGAAGAATTATGCCAAAGACTTAAAGAACAGTTAGATGCTCTTGAAAAAGAAACTGCATCTAAGCTATCAGAAATGGATTCATTTAACAATCAACTAAAGGTATTTATCTTCTATTATATTCATTTTTAGTTATATGTCTTCTGCCTTCCTTATTTTGATTTAATAGAATGAATAACTGAAGCTGTTATTTTTATATGTAGTAGTAAATTTTCAAATTTATTTTATAATTTGAGCTATACCAGAATTGGATGATTGTTTTTATTGTTCTCTGTAGATAAAAACATTGTGCCATGTAACTAAATATATCATTGACCATAATTTCCAGTTTTTGATGACTTTTTATTGGCATTTATACATTTTAAGAATAATTGCCTTTGTCAGTATTAGAGAACCGGTCTCAGCCAGCATAATCATAGACAAGGAGAATTTTAAATAGTCCTGCTCATAGAGGCTCTTTCAACACACTAAATTCTTTTTTAGTTTCTTTGTTACAATTTAATTTAATTAACCTTTGTGCAATAATGCAATAATCAGTGAAATATAAAGAATAATCTAGCACTATAAACTTTGCATAAAAAGTAAGTTCATGAGTCATCATTTGCTGCAGTGGCAGAGCAGATGTCCAAAACATATCCTATGTATATATACCACGTGCTTATTATTCTGTGCCGTATTAGTTGTATCCTGAAACCATACCTATACAAGAAGATGTTAAAGGCTAAAAATCAAACTAATGTTACATCATTCAAATTTGGGAGTCGCCTCAGTTATTCCTTTTCTAACTTAACTGAGCATAAAGCTTTCAGAGCATCAAGTATTACATAGCTTTTCAGGCAGCTATGTCTGCATGTGATTTTTATCTTGCTGACATTCAGAATATCATTACACCAACTATAAAATAAACAATATGCTAAAGAAAAGAGACCGTGGTGGCTTCAGTTAAGGAGGAGAAATTTGAGGTACGTAACGTTAATCATACATTTCATACAAGCATATCTTCTGTAGGAAAAAATGGAAAGAAAACCAAATAATTTGTCATTGATGGACCGACAAGCCAGCCAAGTTATCTTCCCTACATTATTTTTTTTTAATCTGTACATAGTTTAATTGGCTTTTTATCTGCCTTATCTTACAGTGTGGGAATTTGGATGACTCTGTTCTTCAGTGCCTTTTGTCTCTGCTAAGCTGTCTCAACAACCTCTTCCTCTTACTTAAGGTTATTTTCTAATATCTAGCTCCTTTTCTTTGAGTTACTTTACTGTTTCCTTTTTTTAAAAAGTAGACTATTCTTTGCATTTATCTGAGTATCTTTGTTTGAAATAACATATACAATGTAGACCTTTTTTCTTTCTGCTTGCTTGATATTCTGCTGTCTAACTGCCTGTTTGAGTCTAATGCCAGAAATCAGTAGGGTTGCCCAGAATAATCCTTCTCATGAGGAGCCCAAGACACTTAGAACTATTACCTGGTTCCCTTACAGCATCCCTGTGAGTTGGTTTAACTGATGGGATGATTACTGATTCAATTAAAAGGAAAGCTAAGGGAATGTGAGATTAAATCATTTATTTATATCACTAAAAGTCATTATTTAAAATAAAACTTTTACTTTCTGAAATCCAGGGCAAGATTATGACATATATATACCAGGCTGCTTCCTAATATTGTTATAAGGAAAAAGATTAAAGAACCAATAATACAAGGGCAGCTTTGTTATGTCTAGTTACTAGGCCTCACGTTTAGACATACTTGCACTTCAGATGAAAATGTTAAATCATATGTTTAAATAGTTCACTTTGTCATGTATAGCACACAGATTATTTAAAATACTTAGTGTATTCCTGTATTAATATACAGCAGGTTCTCAAATAATGTCATTTTGTTCGAAGTCGTTTTGCTATGTTGATGAGATGTCGTAGGAACTTAACTCTTATTTATATCAATTAGCCTATGGTAAAATTGATGTATAAAAATTCATTATATATCGTTTCACTTAAAGTCGCAGAACATATTGACGATGTTGAATAAGGACTTAGTGTAGTTTAAAGAAAGATGCTTTGTATTTACCACTTGCTGACCCCAGTAGATTTTGACTGCATTCTACTGTGTACTAAAATGGATAGCAGTAGGGCAGTGGCATACACATACTCAGTAAAGACAGGAACATAAGTAGAGCTCATTTGTTACCTAAGCAAAGGTTGGGCAAATTGGAAAGATGACATCAGCCTTTCCTTTATGGTTATAACATAAATGGCCAGATTATCTGGTCTTAAAATTTTTGCTACAGACTGCACAGAAATTTAAATCAGTTTCTTCATCTATAAAATGAGATTTGATGATGATTTGTGGATTGTACTCACACACGTAAGTCTGATTCTTTCAGTTAGCATTTGCTTCTCCACAGGCCAGCAGATTATTCTTATCTCTTGCTTTACTTTCTTCCTTCTGCTTCCTGCCTTCCAGCCTTTCATTGCTTATTGACATTTCCATCAAGGACATTTAGGAAACTAAAAGGGGATGAGACCTATATGGTCAGAGTGGACAGGAGACTGAGTGTGGTGTCACCGAGGCCTGCTGTGGTCATCGTGGTGAAGTGGGACAAAGCAATCAGTTACCATACTAGTGAAAACTGCCCACTGAATTGTCAAGCAGGAGACCTCTGAAGACCTTTTTGAAAGTGCCATTTCACTTGAGTGATCAGCAGAATTTGCTGGATTGCAACAAATCAGGAAGGAATGGGAGCTGAAGAAGGGTTAAGTGAGTGTGAACAACTCTTTAGGAGGAAGTAAAGAGAGCATGAGGTCAAAGGGAAACTTGCTTTGGTTTAAGAAAGATTTGAAGGACAAAGGATACAAAGTTGCAGTTATGTAAGAAGTTCTGGGATCTAATGTACACAACATGGTCACTATAATAAATAATACTGTGTTGTATAATTGAAATTTGCTAAGAGGGTAGATCTTAACATTCTTACCAGACACACACACATACACACACACACACAAAAGGAGGGAGGCAAGGAGGAAGAGGTAACTATATGGGGATTGTTATGTTAATTAGCTTGATTGTGGTGATTATTTCACAGTGTATGCATATATTGAAACATCAAATTGTACTCCTAAATACATACAATTTTTATTTGTCAATTATACCTCAGTAAAGCCTGGGGGAAAAGAATAGTTGGGACCACCCTTGGAGGTGATATCAGCTTTCTTTGAGGCATATGGCTATGAGGATGGGGTAGTTTCTACTTATTAAGACAGAAGAATGGAAATAGAGAAAATTGAGCTGATTAGGTAACCATATCCAACTTAATGTCTTAATGGCAATTGCCTGGCTCAGACCAAATATTTCATTGCCAAATTCCCAGCACCTAGAACAGTTCCTGGAACATAGTGGGTGGTAATAAATACTTGTTGAATGAATGAATGGTTTAGAATGTTCTCAGTCAGAAAATATGCAGCATTTAGGAATAGTATATGGAGTTTATTTTTAAAAAAAGAAAATAAATTAGTCAAAAAACAGCAGAGAACCATGTATTTCAGATTTTTAGGAATACTCTGACCTACATAATTCATTCTTTTAAGCTAAGGCTATTTTTTAAATGCAAAAGAAAGAAAGGAGAGATTTGAAGGAGACAATAAAGAGAGGAAGGGAGGGAGGAAGAAAGAGAGAGCGGCTGAGCAAGACTGAATATATAGAATGGTGGTTGATAGAGCAAAATCCCTAGGGAAGTACATTAAGATAACCCAGAGCATAGATTGAAGGATTGGATAAAAAGAATACTTCCAGTGTAACATGTGGGATAAAGAGGGGTGTGAAGGCAGTCAAATTTGTTGTGGAAAGTAGGAAATTACCAGCTTCAAGACAAAGTTAGTTGGACCGTTATAAGGAGTCTTCCTAGGCAATTGAGGATATGGAATAACTCAAACTAGACTAGAAGAAGATGGGTGCAGATGCAAGAAGTTACACTGATTTTGAGATGGAAAGATGCAGGACTTCCAGTCTGGTGTATTAATGCGGAAAGATGACTAGCTGGTAGTGAGAATGAATGGAAGATTAGGAAGTTTCAGGAGAGAAGGAGACATCTCTGCGGAGGTGGAGGGTGGAGGGCGCAAGCTTGGTAGAGGAAAACACTAGGTGTGCTGAGCAATGTTGAAGGCCTGTTTGAAGTTGGAGGCCATGAATTTAAATTGAAAGCAGCATGCCTAATTGTATCATTTTTCTCCACCAAAATTCAACTGCTTAGGTGTGAGCACCAAGGTTCTTAGGTTTATACAGGTTTGAGGTTTTAATAGACATGGCCAAAGAGGGAGGAACAAGAGAGTTATAAATCTTGGCACAATAATTGCGATAAAGATGAACTCTGAAATATGGACTAGACATAGAGGGATGTGAGGAGAGGAAGAGGTGTGGATGAAGAAAGAGAATGATGAGGTCAACAGAATGGAGGTCTGAAGGAGTTTGGGAAACTGTTGAAATGGATGTGTTGCTAGAAAATGGGTTCTCGGTGTTCATCGCAGGAAAGAATTCAAGGATGCACCGAATAAGCTAAGCAAGCAGCAGATTTATTAGAGAAGGACAGCCCACTCTCAGGATGGCGAGAGCGGGCGTGCTCGGAGAAGAGCAGCTGCCCCAGAGAAATATGGGCTTGAGAATTTATTATACTTGAAATGAAGGCACGAAATATTCAAGACTTAGGGGTGGCATTATTGGCATTTCTAGGTGGGTCCTCGTTTACCACTCCTTCCCATTGGGAGAAGGGATTTTTGTCCTTATTTGACTCTGTCAGAACTGTCACTGCGACACGGGTTGGAGATTTTCCCTAACTGCGGTGCTAATAACATTATACTCCATTATTATTAAAGCTCGCCTAAAGTGGCTCTCAGCCACTGAAACCTAGTTCTGGCTGGTCTGGTAGCTGCACTTTTTCTTAAGGATGATCTCATCTCGTCCCTCCTTTGTCTCCCTTCATCTCCTCCTTCCCTTCCTCCCTCTCTCTCCCTGAGGCCCTATTCTTTCTGTCTACAGTAACAGATATACCAGGTATAAGAAAAGCTTGAAGGATAAGGACTTATGTCTGAAGAATGGGATGTTTGAAGAATGGGATGTTTGATCAATGGTAGTTAGTTCTGTTTCTGATGATGACAAGATTCAGTGTCTAATAATGCAAATGATGGATTAAATTCAGTGAAATGGGTCATTATTAAGGTCACCCTAAGAGTTGAGGTTTTGATTGGGTCATCTGTGTGGATGTCAGAGACTTGGAGAATGATAAAGATGAATGAATAAGGATCAGTGACCAGATGATCAATAAATAACAATAAGAGGAAAGGGAAAGGAGTATTGCGGGTGGTATGAGCTTCAGAAAAACATGAAGTTTGTATGAGTGAGGAGAAATAATGGTCTGTAGATGGCAACAAAGAGCAAGGAAAATGCTAAAGTTATCCCCCAATCCTGATTTCAGTGGAATATATGATAATAAACTGAGAGAGAAATAGAGGAAAGGCAGTGTCCTGAGGGATAGCCAAAAAGGCAAGTAGGTAAGAGACTCCATTCAGAGAAGATATGTGACATGTGGGAACCTGACCACCAAGAGGAAGTTCCAGTGGAGGGGTTTGAGGAAAGGAAGGTTGGGGGATTGGGTCAGATTAAGAGATACGCATTATAGAGATGAGAATTTGGCTGGTAAAGAATGATAAGACAGGCTAGGTCAGTTGGCAGGTGAAATGGAATAGGTCCCAATGGTCTTGAAGGAAGATAGATAGGCATTTAGTTCTAATTCTGTGGTCCTTGGGGATGGTAGAGCATCTGGAGTGATCGCTCCTTTAGGCTACTTGTTGTGAAACAAGTATATTTACAAGTATCTTAAGAACTTACGTTTCATTGAACCCTGTAATCAACATTAAAAGGTCAGTGATCATTTTTACTCCTGCTCAAGTTGCGCTAAGACAAATAGCAAAACCAGTGGGTTCAAAGTTGAGACATTTAACAGGCCATTATTCTGTTAAGGAAATTCACACAATATCCCTTCTTTAGCATTGAGGTATAATGAAAAAAGTACTGGCCTAGGCATCTAAAGAAATGAGTTTTGGTCTTACCCATGCCCTTGCAAGTTGTGTAACTATTTGTCATTTAACCTCCAAATTTTGCTTTCTTCGTTTACAAAATAAGCTGACAATATTTGCTCTGCTTTCTTTGCAGAGTTATATGATGATTAAATAAGATAGCATACATATGGAAGTGCTTTGTGAACTGTTATGAGCTATACAAATTTTTTTGTGTTCTTATTAGGGAAGGGATTGCCCTGAATCTCCATAGTACCGTATCTTTAGTGTGTTGGAAAGTCACCACTGCTGACTTTGGATAATGATTGGGGAGGTACTTTTCCTTAGAGGGAAAGTAGAATCCATCAGCACCAGAGCTGTGGCTTACTCCAGTGGGTTAGGTTCTTCTTAACCTGTGCTCCCAAGGATCTGGGGTAAATTACATTAGTGGCAAGGTGAAATTTTGATTTATACAGGTGACAATAAGATAACTAATTTGGGGATCAGGAACACTAGTCCTTTGAATTGTAAGTAAAAACTTTAGTGAGCTATGTACTAGATGTAAGAGGAAACATTCCCCAAACCCATAATTTAAGGGTTAAGGAGGTGTTCCCTTCTTTCTGTCAGAGAATTTGAGGTCTCCCTTGGGAACCTCCTTTTTCTAAGGTTGGGTAGTAGGAGGTGTGGACCTAAAGAGCTGCTGGGCAACATGAGTTATAAAGATTTGTTTCTAAAGCAGAGGATCTTAACCATTTTTGTGCCATGGACTCTTCAACAGTTTACTGAAGTCTCTGAAATCTTTCTCAGAATAATGTTTTAAATGTATAAAATGAAACATATAAGATTATAAAGAAAACTATGAGTCACAAAATATTTTTAAAAACAAATTTGTGATATAGTAATTATGTGCTTCTATATAAATGTATTAAATAACAACATCTAGTGACAGATATAATAATACCATAATTTTGAATTCAAGATGTATATAATGTACATATCAAGTTATATGCACTATAATATGAGAATATATGTTTTTTCCATTGGTGAAAAATATCACAAGTACAGCTAATAGTACCATGGTTTTGTTGCTTACATTTAGAATTGAAGAAATGCTGATTTTCAGATAGAGGTTAGTAAAAGTGAAGATTAATTTTGTTCCTGTCCAAGTTCCTGGACCCCTGAATTCTATTTTTTTAGAAAGCCTTGAAAAGTCTGTGGCACTGCTGTTTAGAATCCCTGCTCCAAAGTGAAGATAAGGAGATTGAACTTGCTGATTTTCTTATCTGCTTGTTCCATCAGTTACAGAGATTGGTATGATAAAATCTTCCACTTTGACTATGGATTTGCCTTTTCCTCTTTCATTTTGATGAGGATTTTTAAAAGTAGATTTTGAGGCTGTGTTATAAGGTGCATACAAGTGCCCCAGATTACACAGCTAGTAAGCAAAAGAGCAGAAATTCAGCTGAGATAGTAAGGATTTGGCATTATGGTTATATTAAGAGAGCAAAGCTGAAAATTTGTAAGTAAGTGTTCAACTTGAGGAGCTATAAAAGACCAGCATAATAAAGTAAAAAAATATATATAAGGACATTAATGAAACAGAAGGGAGACGTATAATACAGAGAATCAAGAAAGCCAAATTTGACTCTTAAAGATTAATAAAATTAACAAACCTTTGGCAAGATTGGTATTAAAAAGAAAGAAAGTAGAAATAAAGAAAATTAGGAGTGAAAAGGAAATATAATTAAATATGTTGCAAACATTAAAAGATAAGATGATATGACAAATATTACACACAATATAAAATATATATAGAAGAACAAATTACAATATGCTAAAACTGACGCAAGAAAAAGATGCACTATACTCATGAAATATTTTAAATCTGTAGTTTAAAAATCTCTAAAAGGGAATCCAGACCGAGAGTTTTTACTCAAGGAATAATTCTAGACTTATTCAGCTGATTCAAAATACAGAAAAAGAGGGAATATGCCCAACTTAACATACGAAGCTATCATAAATGTCTCAAAATCTGGTAAGTACAGTATGAGAAAGGATAATTGTAGGCCAGTTTAACAGAGGCAAAGATTCTAAATAATATTAAGAAGTTGAATACAGGAGTTTATAAAAAGGATAATCCGTTGTGACCAATGACCAAGTTGGATTTATCTTGCTTAGCCATGCAAAGATGATTTGACATATAAAAATGTTTACTGTAACTTGCCATATAAACAGATTAAAGGAGAAAAATGGTATGCTCATTTCTTTAGATGCAGAAAAAGTATTTGATAAAATTTAACACCCATTCATGATTTAAAAATGAAAAAGTTATTAGCAAATTAGGAATAGAACTTCCTTAACCTGAAAAAGATGATCTGTCATTCTATTAAAACAGAACAATCCTGTTCATTCACTGGTTCTCAGTTAACTGATGTATTTAGCCAGGACTTCCTAGAAGCAGTGCCTTAACCCAGAAGAGTTAGTCTAATGATATGAATTTCTAGGATCACTGTAGTCATGCAGAGGAAATGTTTTTGGCAAGTCTTGTGATTTTCTTCAAATCTTATTAATATGCATAAACTAAGTACAGTATGTTTATGCATTTTCATTTATCCAATAAATACTAAGTCAATGTCTACACTGCACCAGGCTCTCTCTTGGGTGGCAATACCTTAATGACAGTCCTGTTGTCAAGAAACTCACTCCAGTGGAGGCAATTACAGTAGGAAGACATTGGCTATGATGGAAGAATGCACAGAATGCTGTGGGGAGCACAAGGAAGCTCATGAACTCAGACACTGGAGGAATGGGGCTAAAAAAGGAAGACTAGGAGTAGTATTTTAAAGGACAAGTTGGAGGACTAACCTTGCAGCCATGTTCAGATCAGATATTTGTTTGGCTCCTCTTTACTGTCCTTTTAAACTTGTAATTCTCCAATAATAGTAGCTACTGTTTATTGAAAACTTACTATGTGCCCAGCACTGTTGTAAGCACTTTACCTGTATTAACTAACCCATTCAGTCCTCACAATGCTATGAGGCATGTACTATAATTAACCCCATTTTACAGATGAGGAAACTATAAATTAACCTTTCTAGGTTTACTCAGCTAGTCACTGACAGCCTGATTCAGACCTTGGCATTCTTATTCTAGACCCATGCTTCTATAGTCCTTATCACCAAACCACACTATTTCTCCATAGATAGTAACCACTATATTCTTCTTCAATAGAATTTAGAGAAAGGTGCAACAAAGAGAACTAAAGAAGCTGAGATCTGTGGAACTGTGCTGTGAGTGCAGTCTTTGTATTGTTATTGGCTTAAGTTGCAAGTCTTGATCTCAGACATTTTGGACATAGTCTCTGGATACCGCACTGTCCTCAGATCAATTGTACCATTTCAATCAAGTTAAAAGGGCTCACCTATAAAATTTTTTATTTCTGAAAAGAAATAGAGCTTGGGTTTTGTTTTTGTTTTTGTTTTTGTTTTTATTGGTTGGTTGGTTGGTTGGTTTGGAGTTTTGTTATTGTGTGTAGGTAGATGCCCAACATTTTTTATTAAAACATTCTATCTAAATGCTGTCTGAGAAACCTTTGCCATGAAATTTCTTGTGTTACTTTGGGTTTTTGTTTTTTTTCTCTTCTTTACTCCAGGCTTTTTCTACTCTCTTGTTCAGGATTCTGTGGGTTCTAAGTAAAAGAAACTCACTTTAAAATAGTTAAGCTAAAGAGAGTGGTTATTGGAAGAATAGTAGAACCACCAACTGAATACAAGCTGCTGGACAGGGCCAGTTCCTAGACACTGAGGAATGAAGCTGGAGGTTCGGTTTCCCCAGTCCCCCCACTCCCTCCACCTCAGTCTCTGCCTTTGCTTCTCTTTCTCCTGTGTTGACTTCACTGCTACCCCTGGTGGCATCACTTGGTAGTGGGGCAGTTCCAGGTTTCCCTTATGCCCACATACTAAGCTTAGAGAAAGAGACTTCTTTCTCTGCTCTTCAATATGTCTGAATCCCAGCAAAGAATTTGGGCCCAGCTTGGATCCTTGGCTTATCCTTTGGACAAGTCATACTGGCCCAGGGAGGTGAGGAGCTGCGACTGGTTAGGCCCAGGTTAAATGAGCACGCCTGGATAGGAGTGGGAGGAGCACTGAATTTGACAGGCACCAAAGCCACATCGAAGGGGGGACTGCTTTCCTGAAAGGAAGGGTGCTGTTAGAAGAACAGGGAAAGAAATGCTGAATAAGACAATCACATTTCTGCTAAGGCACTTACCTATATCCCACCTTTTGGTACTTTTCCCTACTTTAAGATTGTGAACTCTTTGAAGACAAAGACTGTAGATTTGAGAGTCAGACAGCCTTGGATTGGATCCCCTGTGAATCGTTGTAGACTTTGCATTGAACTAGATGCTCAATAAGTATTTTTTCAATCCCTGTTTGGAATAGTTTTCATTATTTTTGCCTCATGCTAGCCGTGGTTTTAGATAGATTTTATCTTTACCATTTTTAGTTCTTAACTAAATTATTTAATAATTGCTTCTGTGTTTAGTTCAAAATCTTGTTGGAATAAAGTTATGGGTAACTTGATTAAACTACACACATCAAAAATATGACTGAACAAAATTCCTCTTCAAATGTTATTACAAGCAAATTGTTTCCCCATTGTTTTAACAGATTGCCTTTTTTATTGAAAGTGAAGTACCAAATCAAAGAATTAGCTTGTAAAAATTGTATATTAGAAATGAATTTTAAAAAAGAGAATTAATACAAAAGTAGTTGATTTTAACATGTGTTTTTCTTCAGTGGCTACATGACTTAAATATGTATTGTATTCAATATTTTTTTAATTATTTAGATTTTTAAAACATTTAATATGTTTAGTTTAACTTTCTTTAGGATTTTTGTCTTTTAATGCAAATGACACATTACTACATAAAACAAAAATATTTAAATCAATGGCATAATTGACTTATTTTCATTTTCTCCTTAGGAACTGAGAGAAAGCTACAATACACAGCAGTTAGCCCTTGAACAACTTCATAAGATCAAACGTGACAAATTGAAAGAAATTGAAAGAAAAAGATCAGAGCTAATACAGAAAAAAAAGCTAGAAGATGAGGCTGTAAGGTAATATAGCTGATAAGTGTATTATACTATGTTTCTATTAGAATTCTGATTTTGTTGCCATACTAGTTTGACTGTGAAAATTTAAGGGGAATAAAGAGTAAATAAAAGGATTATCCTGAGATGCTAATTAAGACTCTAAATTTTAGAAATTCAAATTCTTCTTTTAGGGACTGAGTTTACAGTAACCAATTTTATGTTTCATTAGTGAAAAATAGGGACTTTGGAGTCAGACTTGAAAGATCATAAAAACTCAGTGCTTAATTTTACAGTGTTAAGGCTGAGTGTAGAATGCCGTGTTGATGCAGTTCTTTCTGTACCGTTGAGATACATCAAGCACCTCCATTTATAGTGAGGAGAAGTAAGACAGTTGTGGTGTCTGAAGCATAGAACCATTCATGTAGAAGATTTGCATGATATTTTTCTGTCAGCAAGGGCCTGTCCCTAACATGTCCTTCTGTTTCTCCCAAGTTCTCTAGTGTCAGAAATTAGTATTGTTAAATGTTGACAAGCCAACATCCCTTTGCCTTGGAGTAGATGAGTAATGTCCATGAAAGAGCTATAGTTACTGGGGAGGCAAGAAAGACATAGCACCATATAGCCGGTCTCTTTTTCTTAGTGGCTTCAGAATAGCAACTTCCAACACATTTCTATTGAGTGGCCACTGTTGTCTGTGATGCAGGTAGCTTCTGGCTTACTCTTACTCTTGCTCCCAGATGCCTCAGATGTAATTCTAATGGGAGATCAGACAGTGAAACAAATAGCTATAACAATCTTTACTCCAAAACCTGGGGCCCCTAACAAGAGATACTAAATAATATAGACGTACAGACAAGTAAGTTCAAACTAAGAAGGCTTTTATTTGCCAGTTAACTTGTGCCATTTAACAGTGCACAAGGGAACTGTGCGTCGTCGCTACACAGCTAGTCACTGTGTCAGAATTTTCTGTTGACACATGCAAGCATCATGATATCTCTTCATCACTGCTCACAAATTCCTTTTAGACCAACAGACCTAATTAGTAACACACGTTTTCATTTCACTCACCATCCTGACACGTTATCCTACTGTAGTAGAGGGAAGAAATCAGAACAGAAGCACATGTAAGATCAGGTCAGAGCTGGGTCTTCATACTACATCTTGATTTCTTGGCCATTTGCTCAGGTATGTCCCCTTGTTGTCCCAAGCTTTTGGTAACAGTCAGGTTTTAACATTGTAAATGTGGCCTCTTGCCGTTTGTCTAGCTCCTGAGGCATCTTCCGGTTCTGGACCAGTTTCTTATCCACTGACTCATACATAAGAAACTTTACCAAAATTTAATTTTATATTCTCTCAACTCTCTAGTCTTTATTGCAATAAATATGTGGTAAGTACTCTGATAGTGGTGTTTATAATGCTATGGCAATTCAAATAAAGGCTAAATCGGGTCATTCTAGGCATGGGAGAATGTCAGAGAAAGTTACTGAGAAAGGAGGAAAAGGAATACTGGTTGAAATTAAGTAAGTACTGCAAGAGAAGCGTGGCCCTCAGTGGGAAGCCAGATGTCAGTTGCAGAAAGGGATGCAGGAAGCATTCTGTGAAGTGAAAGAGTGTAGGAGGATTGACAAAGCGTTGAGAGGAACCAGGAATATGAAGAGTAAGACAACTTGGGGATGAGGAGGAAGGGTTGATGACTCAATTGGTCTACAGTTTTGGGAATTATCCAGGGTTTCCAAATTCCTCCAGGAATTATAGGAATGGAAACATGGAATTAAATCAAGGTTTCTATCTTGGTGGAGCATAAATGCCTGCAAATCCCAGGGATGTATCCAGCCACTATCTTCACCCACCTGATGGTGTGTGCTGAGACTTGGAAAAGCTGCTAAATTTAGTGGTGACAGCTTTGCCTCTGAGTAAAATCATAAAAAATATATGGAACCAAGAACTATGGCGAGCATTAGTTCTAACACTAAAATAGCTAAGTCTGATCACAGATTATCTTGACCAGCTAGAAAACAAGATGCAGCTTTATTATATGTTATAGAAACATGTACAGAAGCGTGGACCTATAGGGAAAAAATGCTCTGTTATCTAACGAATGAAAAAGACTTTGATGTGGTAGCAGAAAACATAATCTGTCCAGAGCATTTCCTATTTCCACAGCAGTGAAAATCCCAAACCCAGGGATTAGGTAGGATGGTGGGAATAAGAGCTGGAGGCAGTCCTTGTGCAAAATCTAGAGAAGAGGGACGGGAATTTAGGTATCATTTTTATATTTGTTTTCTGAATAGTTCCATTTCAATTATTTTCGTCGTTTTTTCTTAGGTTTGGGAGGCTCGCTGGCAGGAAGGAATTTGAGGGTGTGGGAAATTGTCAGTTGTATTCCCCAGCTCATCTATTTGTCCAAGGCTCCACTCTTAATTATTTGGTTTTCCCCGTCACCCTGATCCCCACTGTTTCTTCACACCCTGCTCCTAATATCTCTCTGCTATATTTATTATACTTATTATACATAATATGTATAATTATAATAAATATCTAATTATATAAGATTATGTATAAATATGTAAGAAATATATTTCTTCAGTTTGTCAGGAGCAAGATCTTCTGTTATATATTTATTTTGTGTAAAAAAATTTAGGACATTATGCAAACTGTTATTCTTTTATGTAAAGGAAAGCAAAGCAAGGAAAAGAAAACTTATGGAGAGAAAATCTTAGAAAGGAGGAAGAAGAAAAACAAAAGCGACTCCAGGAAGAAAAAACACAAGAAAAAGTTCAAGAAGAGGAGCAGAAACCTGAGGAGAAACAATGTAAGGATAAAGATAAAAATAAAAGATTTAATTTTTCTGAGACAGAGCAACAAGAGCAAGAAAAAAAAAACAAAAGATTCTGATGAGAGGCAAAAAAAAAAAGATGAAAAATTAAAACATGATAATCAGAATCAGAAAAAAACCTTTTTCTAAATTAAATTTGGATGAGAACTGTGTAAGTTTATTAAAACAGACTGAGGGTAGAAATCTTAAAACAACATGGCGAAAATATGATAGTCCTTATTAACTACGAGCAGACCATAACATGGTTTCATAATTGAAGTAAACAGTTTTAAATATTTTATTCAAGCAGTATAACTAAACTGTTTATTTTAACGAAACAATAAAATTTTAACTTTTTGCACATTGAAATTTTCTCAGAACATACATTTTGTTTTTGATATACCTCAGAATCCATTCCTAACATACTTGAAATATTAGCATATCTCTTGTGGATGTACAAACCATTAAATCCTTATTGATGATACAAATGTGTTGAAAATTTTGTAAGCTAAAGCCTTTATTCTACAAACGAACAAAATATTTTTAATCTTATCCAGTCTAGTGTATTTGTGAGCTCTTCTACTGTTTTCCGTTTAGAACCATAACGATAAATCTATAGATCTTTCTTCAGTCAACCCTGTTTACCTGCTAATCTCCTCATTTGTGACTCCCTTTCTGTGCCCTTTTTTCCTGTTAGGACTTCACAGATCAAACTAAGCCTCTTTTTGTTGTTGTTGTTGGTTCCAGGTATACAAAACAATGTAATGATTAGATATTTACATCCCTCACAAAGTGATAACCCCAACAAGTCTACTACCCATCTGACACCGGACGTAGCTATTACAGTACCATTGATTTTAAACTAAGCCTCTTGCTGTCTTGTCTTCTTCCACTGGGCACAACTCAGCTTCCACCTCACCCACACCCTTCCTTAGGTTCATGCACATAGCACTCCCTGCAAGTTATCTCTGTTTTACTGCCTCCAACTTAAGATGAACATCCTTGTTTGCTTTAATATCGACTCTATGCCTAGTCAAGATATTTAAATCCTAACAAGACTGCAGATGGAGTTTCACTACATTGTTTGATGCTCAGTTTTTTCCTTTTGATTTTAAGAGCTCTTCCTTGAGTCATAGCAAAGATGCGTATACACAAAAGTAGCAAATATTGACAATTATCTTCTCTTAAGGTGAGCCAGCTAGCGCTTTGGTGAATTACAGAGCATTATATCATTTTGAAGCAAGGAACCATGATGAAATGAGTTTTAATTCTGGCGATATAATACAGGTAGGAAACAAAGTCTTTTTTTTCTCATGAATAAGCAAAATACAATGTAATATATATTTTTTCTATAATATAGTAGTCCCCCCTTATCTGCAGTTTCAATTCTGTGATTTCAGATATCCATGGTCATCCATAGTCCAAAAATATTAAATGTAAAACTCCAGATATAAAACAATTCACAAATTTTAAAATGCACGCCATTCTGAGTAGCGTGATGAAATCTTGTTCCCTCCGAGTGGGCCATGAATCACTGGACATCCCCATTGTCCAGTGTATCCACGCTGTATATTCTACCCACCTGTTAGTCACTTAGTGGACATCTTGATTATCGGATCAACTATCTCAGCATTGCGGTGCTTGTGTTCAAGTCTGCATCTCTTTCCATTATAAATGTGTGGTTTTCTAACCACTGTTAAGCCTTCTTTTTGTTTCCATAGGTTGATGAAAAAACCACAGGAGAACCTGGTTGGCTTTATGGTAGTTTTCAAGGACATTTTGGCTGGTTTCCATGCAACTACGTAGAAAAAATGCCATCAAGTGAAAAATCTGTGTCTCCTAAAAAGGCCTTACTTCCTCCTTCAGTATCTTTATCTGCTACCTCAACTTCTCCTGAGTAAGTTTTTGGCTAACAATGGAGTTTCTGTAGCTCTGCAAATGTATGAATACCTAATATATGTTTATGTCAGCCTGCTACTTAATCATATTATAATCTGTACTGGACTCTCCAAGAGTACCTCTTGTTCCAAATTTAATACTGAAATTTAGTAAATTAAAACGTACATCAGTAGTTTGTTCATGAATTCTTTTTTTCCACAAATTGTGTTTAAACACAATATATATTATATACAAGTTGACGCATTCGTAGTACTTCGTTAGAGTCTAAACAATTAAGTATATTTATATCAAAGTGTTGTATTTACAGATCACTTTCTTCAAATCAACCAGCATCGGTGACTGATTATCAAAATGTATCATTTTCAAACTTAACTGTTAATACATCATGGCAGAAAAAATCAGCTTTCACTCGCACCGTGTCCCCGGGATCTGTGTCACCTATTCATGGACAGGTATGTATCTTTAATTTTTGTGTGATTTATTCTTTGACATTGCTCCTGATTCATATAAAATAGAATGAAGATTTTTGTACAAAGGCATCACTGACTCATTTAACCAGAATTTGTAGCATTTGGTTTTGTTCTGATTCACATGTGAGTTGAAGAAATTATTATTACTTAGAGCTGTTTCTCAACAATTCATTCTCATAGTATCAGGTTGCTAGCAGCTAAGATTTCTAAGCTCAAAATGCCATTTTTACAAATCTGATTATAATGTTTTTCATTTGTAGTTATTGTAAGAAGAATTTGGGGCTTTGGAGCTTCAGGAACTACAAGGGTTTTAGTGATGTCAGCACTGTGCAGACATCAGAGAGAATAAGAGTTTGGGAGAAACTTTTGACTTCGATGTTATCAATGACCTTGTCAAGAGGTTCAGTAGAGGGCCACCTGAGTGGCTCAGTTGGTTAAGAGCTCACTCAAGAGTGCGAGCTCTGAGCAACAGGGTCGCCGGTTCGATTCCCGGCCCAAGCTGAGCTGCCAATGGGTGGGCAGGATGGCTCAGCAAAAAAAAAAAAAAAAAAGAGGTTCAGTAGTATGATTGCTGCAGAACCTAAATTGGAATGGATTGAGGGGTGAAATTGGAAAGCAAGTTAAAGTCTGTTCTTTAAGAAATTTGGAAGTAGAAGTAAAAAAAGTGGAGAGATCAAAGATTCAAGAGAGAGCCTTCATGATGTTACAAAATATTTTTATAAAATGGGAGGAAATAATAGAAGATTTAGAGCATAGGTAAAGAGGTTAGCCTTGTCAACCAAACAAAACCTCTTTCCTCTGAGGGAGGAGGGAAAGAAAGTAGATTGTATAAGAATACAAAAAGCAAGAAAGAAAGCAAAAAAGTGGAGGGAGGCTGAGCACAACCACACCTCCATTCCTAGTGGAGTAAATTGAATCTACTGCAGTGAGGAGACAGCAGAAGCTGGAGGAGAGAAAAGTAACCCATCCCCTTTTCATTTGTGCTAGGGTATAGAGAGTACCCAGTGTTTGCCTTCTGTACCAGTGATACTTAGTGCCAAGGTGTTTCCTTGAATGGTAGATGTTCAGGCCTTTACTTAACAGAAGGCTACTCAGATGGTTGTCTGTCATATATAATTTTAAGACGGTAAATTAAGGTTATTTTGAGTCACCACTGGTAATAAGTCACCACCACACCAAACCGGTCTGCTGTTTGCATAGTAGGTATGGTATGTACTAAGAAACAAAAAAAGTTATCATTGTTTTGTTGTTTCTAATTTTGTGGTTTTATATTCACAGGGACAGGCTGTACAAAACCTAAAAGCACAGGCCCTTTGTTCCTGGACTGCAAAGAAAGATAACCACTTGAACTTTTCAAAACATGATATTATTACCGTGTTGGAGCAGCAAGAAAACTGGTGGTTTGGGGAGGTGCATGGAGGAAGAGGATGGTTTCCAAAATCTTACGTCAAAATCATCCCTGGGAGTGAAGTCAAACAGGAAGAGTAAGCATTTGTGTGTTTACATGGGGTTGTGGATGCTGTTTTCACTAATGAGTCAGCCAATGTATGACTGGCTGTACAATAACATAAAAAGTATATGCTTCAGTTTGAATATCAGACAGGCCATTCCTATAGTGGACAAAGGTATAGTTCAGATGTTTGTATCCTTTTTGGGATATTTTTTATTCTAGTTATTTCAGATTCCTGAAGTTTCCAAAATGCTTAAAATTTTAGATCCATTGCATCCTTTGTACCATCAGGTCATTAACAAAGATACTTTTCATTTCCTGTGGAGCATTTCTCCCTTGTTGTTAAAGTACTTGTTGTCAGTACTTAAATAAGTCTTTACTGAGGATCCCCCCCTTTGCCAGAATGCGGCATTCTGTCCCTGGGCCTCCAGAGTTCCTTGAAGATTACCTCTATTACTGCTTATAACACATTGTGTTGTAGTTATTCACTTTCTTACCCATACCCCTTATTAGATCATAAGCTCCAGGAGGGTGGGGGCCACGTGTTTGTTTGTTTGTTTGTTTTTCAATTTTTCCATGACTACTGTAATCTTAATGCATAGTAGCTGTTCAGACATATCAGCTCAGTAATAAGGAGAGAAGCAAATGAATGAACAATCGAAAGAACTTTCAAATGCACAAAAAGCAACAACTAGATAAGGTCTCTGGCCTTTATGTCCCAGTCTATAGGGGAGTCAGGCCATTAAATATCTTTAATACAAAGAAATAAGTTCTCTAGTATAGCTATAGGTAACTGTTTCTTGTGTTTTATGTGGAAGTTGATCTAAATAGAAAAACAATCTGGTTTAATGAAAAGGGACTGGTCTTTGGAAATCAAGAGGCCTGAGTTCTGATCCTGCTTTTTTTTGCCAGGCTGTATGGAATAACCTACTTGCTCTTCAGTTTCCTAATTGATTGAATGAAAAGAACACACTAAATTTGTAAAAACCCTTTCAGTGCTGAGACTCTGTGTATCAATTTTTAGTTCAAGTGCAGAAATTTACTTTTCAGACTGACACGGAATTTTAGATTTAGAAGTGTGTGCTGAGAACAGTGACAACAGTTACATGTGTATGGTGGCACTGTGCTAGCCCCTTTGTAGGAATCAACTTATTTAGAGTCCGTAACATTTTACAGAGAACAAAATTTAATCACAGAGACTTAAGCTTAAATGTTTTTTAAAGAGCATTTTTTCTAACCTTCATTCAGTTACTGATCTTCTCTAACAGATAAGGCATGTAACTTGAAAACCTACGGTAATGGAGAATTCAGCCCTAAACAAGGCAGTCCATTCAGTTCTTGCCATGAGCAGTAGTTTTCCTGAAAACGGCCTCACTATATAATTTACTCACAGGTCCTGGGGAGCCCTGGTGTATCCTACACATGTCTAGTTCTTAAACCAGACAGCCTTCCAGATTTTTTAAAAGTTCCCTGGGTTAAATAGGAAACTAAAGCTATACCTATTTTGAAACTTAAAAATAAAGTTCTATTATTTTTTATTGTCTGGTGTTGATCAGTAATATATGTATGTATATGTATGTATATATACTTTTTTTTTTTAAGATTTTATTGGGGAATTGGGGGAGGGGAACAGAGAAGTTGCTGTCCTTTTGTTCTTCAGCCTAGTTGTGGAGGACATCGCTTCACTGGCCCATGTTGGCACCATCATTGCGCTCTTTCCGGGTGAGGCAGATCGGTCGCCGGCCACTGGACAGCCGTTCACGGTGGCACTTGGAAGTTCACGTCGGCTGCCAGCCGCTCACAGTAGCTTATGGCAGCCCACTGCAGCCTACGGCATCCCACTGCAGCCTACACCATTGCCAGCGACTCATGGCTGCCCAGCTCCAGGTTGAGCTGTTGTTCACCATCTAAGCTGTAGAGAGCGCAGCGTCACTGGCCCTCATGTGGGATCCCAGCTGGGGCCCTGCTGCTCAGAGCTGGCGTCCTAAGCCAACTCTTAACCAACACGCCACTCAGCCAGCCCAGAATATATACATTTTTTTAATGTAGTGTGCTCTAAACAAATAATAAAATTTACATATGGCCCTTGTTTTTCCCTAAACTCAGCCATGTCCCATAAGTGCTTTACCAAATAAATCCCCCTTTACCAATGCACATGTGTCTTTTAAGTTCGTTTAGAAAGGCAAAATATCACACAGTATATTAAAAAATTTAGAAGTTTGTAATTAGGCAGTTCTTAATCCACTAGAATTTTTATATGAGACTATTTGTAGCCTGTGTGCTGAGACAATATTTAAATTAATTTTAGAAAGCCCTAAATGAATCACTACTAATGCCTGCTGTATTCATCAGATACCTATGATTTTTGCTTGTTGATTTGCTTTTTTTGTTTCATTATTGTTGTTTTATCTGTTTGTGTGTTTATTTGGCAGACCAGAAGCTTTGTATGCAGCTGTAAACAAGAAACCTACCTCTGCAGCCTATACAGTGGGAGAAGGTGAGTTTTTGACAATTTGTAAATTAGATGGGAGTCAGATTAGCTACTGACTATTATCTGACTTCTCACAGTTGTTTTTCTCCCTGCTTTTGTGTCTTCAGTGTTAAAATGAGGTTAAGGAAAACCTGCCCCTTGCCTATTTCACAAGAATATTGAGGACATAGAAAAAAATATGGCTGAAAATACTTGGCATTTTTAGAAAATCAGTACTTTGAAAATTCACCACAGACTGCCTTGATAAATAAGATCATCAATGAAAAGTATTGCAATGAGATAGCATGATGGTTTTTATTTTCCTGTTATTATATATCCAGATTGTAGATGTTTAGGATGTAAGGAAATTTTGGTACATTTAGTTGTTTACAAATTGCATTTTAATTACAGTGTACCATGTAAATCATTAAGTAGGATTTAAAATTAGGGTATAATTTATCATAAATATACAAAGAAAAATTTTATAGCCCTTTGAGTTTGACTAATTATTTTAATCTGGTATGCTGAAAAATGAAAGATTGTCTACCCTCTTTGCAGACTTTTTTATTAATAATTACATAGGTTTTTAAATGAATTGTGTATGTCCATTGTAAAATTAGTTGAATAGTTGAAGTACATTTTGTGTTTATGTTGCTCAAGAAAATCAGTTTAATGGTAAATTAAACAGTTTTTTTCGGTATCTACTACATTAGAGATTCTATGCAATAGCCTGACATATACAAGGATGAATAAAACATAGCCTCCCAAGTGCTCACAGTAGAATGGGGAAAACAGGCATACAATTGTAATAAATTCTATAATGAGTGAAAAAATAATTTTGAGTAGGACCTGTGAATCCACAGAAGTGGCAGTGTTGAATCATATTAACCAATGAGTAGGGTCTTGCATAGTGACAAAGGAAGAGAAAGTTCTTGTGCACTGAGGGAATGGGATGCACCAAGTTATCACTGTGAAAGGTTAGGGAACTCCAGGTCACCAGTGAGACAGGAGCCATAAGTTTACTGAGGAATGAGTGTTGTGAAATGAGCCTAGGAAGGTAGGGAGCAGCATCTTGGAAAGGACCTTATTTGTTGCAGCATACCCAAACCTTGTAATCATTTTTTGTTTTGTTAAATCAGTTAATTTCAGTAATACTGGGAACTAAAGTCATTCATTATCAGATATTTATTGAGTGTCTACTCCATGCCAAGCACTAGGCTGGGAGCTGGCTCACTGTGATGAAATTTTCCTCTAGTACTGATGTCGACTGAACATTGGGCATATCCATAACTGTGTCCATAAAAGAATTAAAGAGAAAAGAATTTAGCAGATTAAAATATATTTTGTGTAAGAAGGTTAAAAAAAAATCTTTTCATGTTGATACTATTTGTAGTTTGGGAGTTATTCTCTGTGAGAGGAGGAGGAGGAGGATGATGATGATGATGATAAGATAATTGGGAAAAAATCCCATGGTAAAGCTTTATGTTAAATCAATTTTTTCTAAGAAATTACTAAATAATTGCTTCATTCCTTTTTCTATCTTAACATCTCTTTATATTAAGCTTCCTTAAGTCACAAAATCTTCTATGGTGTATTTACTCAAGATCTTGGCGATTAACATAATTTTTTTAAAAACTTCTGTAATTTATAGTTTTTGGGTTTTGTTTTGTTTTTTTTTTTGCTTTGTTTCCTACAGAGTATATTGCACTTTATTCATATTCAAGTGTAGAACCTGGAGATTTGACATTCACTGAAGGTGAAGAAATATTGGTGACCCAGAAAGATGGAGAATGGTGGACAGGAAGCATTGGAGATAGAACTGGAATTTTTCCATCAAATTATGTCAAACCAAAAGAGCAAGAGGTAGAGTTATTTTGGTATAGAAACAGAATCATTACATTCTTATTCATTAAGATTCATACTTAAAACAAAGACTCATGAATATGGTTTTGGTCAGGCTACTTTGGTCACAAGGAAACTGCTTAAGATAGCTCCAGTAAAATAGAGTTTATTATAGGGATCCTGTTAAAAAGATATTTTCAGGATTTCATGAAATTCTAAGAGCAAGAGCCATAGGTAGTACTGGCCTCATGATAACTGAAGTTAGGAAAGGGTTCCAGGTTCAGGGAAGCTTACAAGGGGACCACCTTGAAGGAGTTGTAATCTTTAAGGCTCTGACATTAATGTCCTTCAGCCTTCATTCTGAGTTCCTGCTGCTTTTCATCCCACCACTAGTGTGGTAGAGTGAAGCAGTTCTCAAATGTTTTGGTTTCAGGAAACTTTTACATTCTTAAAAATTACTGGGGACTCCAAATGAGTTGTTTACTTGTTTGTTTGTTTGTTTGTTTGTTTTTAAATATATGGGCTATATCTAGTAATGTTTTTCATATTAGAAATTAAAACTGGAATTTTTTTTTTTTTTTAAGCTGAGCCATCCTGGCAGCTCAGCTGGGGCCGGGACTCAAACTGCTGTTCTTCAGAGCTCGCACTCTTGAGCGAGCCCTTAACCAACTGAGCCACTCAGCCGGCCCCAAAACTGGAATTTAAAAAATATTTTTAATTCATTTAAAAGTAGCAAAATTAACCCATTGCATGGTAACTTAAATAACTTGCTATTTATGAAAAATAACTGTGTATTTTCCAAAAAAAAAAAGTTTAGTGAAAAGAGTAGCCTTGTTTTATATTTTTGAAAACCTCTTTAATGTCTGACTTCATTGAAGAGAGCTAGATTCTCATATCTGCCTCTATATTTAGTCTGTTGTGATATGTAGTCTTTTGGTTGAAATATATGAAGAAAATTCAACTTCACACAAATTTGAGGAGAAAAGAGAATTATATTAATAACATTTCAGGTATCTGTGGATATGCTTTGATATTAATTACTACACCAAAACTTGGCAAGTGTTAAATTGTTACAGGTTAGTTGCAACATGGAATCTAAAGCCACATATGTGAACATTTCTTATTGTTACATTAAAATTCACCAGTCTGTTTTGTACATTGAATGGGCATTTTACCTATGCATGGTATAGTAACATCATTTATTGGTCATTTGGAAAATATTGAATCACTGAGTTTTGCAAGTATTCCCTGTATTGACACATTTCATTATATAATATTTTTAAAATTACATTTGTTAACATCACCACTGACCTCATAGAAAAGTCTTTAAGTACTTTGAAATTGTCAAGCTTATGGTGGTAGACACAAGTTTCCCAAAGTTTTAGTTTTCCCTTGAAAGCTTGAATTTTATCATTGGCAGAAATCTCATCGGCTACTTTCCTTGAAGTAACAGACTTACTTCATTCATCTTTGAGAAAATATCTGCTAAATCCCAAGCCTGAATTATTCAATTTGCCATTTAGTCTTTTTTTCAAATAAAAATGTTCCGTGAAAAACTTAGTTTAGCTCACAATTGAATCATACGAGTGCTTTTCCTTGAAGCAACCCGTGTACTTCGGTAAGCAGCAGAAATGCCTTAGGCACATTTCATTTCGTCACACAGGACTTTCAAAAGATTTGTACTTGAGCATTGAGATTAATAAATTTTTTACTGCTAGATCAAGGACATTCTTAAGTGAAACTGGCTTTGCTTGTCTTACTGTGAGCACATGGCTGTGAAGAATACTATGACTACTAGTATAATTTAGCACCACTGCCATGATTTGTACTAAGGCATCAGCAGTTTTATCCACCAGTGTAAATGTCAACACAGTGAAAGAGGCAAATAATGTCTTAATACTATTATGAAAATAGCTTGTATCTCCCAGACCCCTAAGAAGGAGCTCAGGGATTGCCTTCCGGGGAGCCACAAATCACATGTTGAGAAACATTGACACTACCTGGGTTGACTTCTGAGGCTAGGTGATTTTGGACAAATTACTTCACCTTTCTTTGCCTCAGTTTCCTTTTCTGTAAAATGGGGATAACCATAATTACGTAACAGTGTTATTGTGAAAATTCTCGAAGTGAATATATGTAACATTCTTATAACGGTGCCTGTTACATAGTAAGTACTCAAAAAACATAGTAAGTACTCTTGACTACCATCAAAGTTGCTTCAGTACTTTTACTACTGTTGTGTCCACTAACAAAAGAAAAAATTTAACCCTTTTCCTTTTCTTGTTCAGATTCCTAGAAAGAGGAAACGTGGTTGGCCCAACTAATCCTCTAAAGTTAAATAGGTCATAGCGGCTAGGATATGGACTTTTTGTTCTTAGGTTCAGGGGGAACATAGCAAAAAAGTAAATAAATAAAAATAAAAACAGTGCTCACATGTGCCTTAACATATCCAGGCACACAGGTCATATGTGGTGCTAATCCCGTTGATAAATGCAGTGTATTTGGCCTGGATAGTCACATTTAACATTCAGGGAATTTTCAGAAAATGAACTTTTCCTGTTGAATCAGTGCATGCCGACATTAGGTTATATATATTGTGTTCAGTTAGCAGACTCGATCTCCCAGAAGTGTTGGATTCTTAACTTATTTGGTCAATGTAAGATTGTCATTTGCTCTTCATTTAAAGAAACAAGAATCCTGGGAATTAGAAATCTCTAATTCCTAATAACATTGGTACTTTTGTATTTGGATTGTTGGAAAATAGTAAAACAGTATATCTTTTCCTTACAGAGTTTTGGGAGTACCAGCAAATCTGGAACATTAAACAAGAAACCTGGTGAGTATAATAATGAAGTGAAAAAAAATTACTAAAGTGTTTAATAGTCTTGAATTCAAAGTTTCTTGTTTTCTTCTTTTCAGAGATTGCTCAAGTAACTTCAGCATATGTGGCTTCTGGTTCTGAACAGCTTAGCCTTGCACCAGGACAGCTAATATTAATTCTAAAGAAAAACACAAGTGGGTGGTGGCAAGGAGAGTTACAGGTAATAATCTTTAAATAACATTTATCAACTTATTGTAAAAGTCATGCATGCTCATTAAAAAATAAAACTAAGAAAATTTTTTTGTTGTTTTTAAGATTTTATTGGGGACTTGGGGGAGGGGAACAGCATTGGGGAATCAGGGAAGGGGAACAGACAAGTTGCTGTCCTTTTGTTCTTCAGTCTAGTTGTAGAGGATGTTGCTTCACTGGCCCATGTTGGTATTATCATTGCGCTCTTCCCGGGTGAGGCAGATTGGTTTCCAGGCCCTGGACGGCCACTCCTCGTGGCTCTTGGCAGCTCACCAACTGCCGGCCGTTCACGCCGGCTGCCAGCTACTCACGGTAGCTCACAGCAGCCCACTGCAGCTTCACTGCAGCCTACACTGTCGCCAGCAACTCACAGCAGCCCAGCTCCAGGTCGAGCTGTTGTTCACCATCTTAGCTGTAGAGGGCAGTGTCACTCGCCTCATGTGGGATCCAACTGGGGCCCTGCTGCTCAGAGCTGGCATCCCAAGCAACTTTTTTTTTTTTTTTTTTTTTTTTTTAGCTGAGCCATCCTGCTACCTATTGGCAGCTTAACAGCAGCTCAGTTTGGGGCAAGCATCCAACCGCTGTTGCTCAGAGCTCAAACTCTTGAGCGAGCTCTTAACCAACTGAGCCACTCGGCCGGCCCCCAAGCTAACTCTTAACCAAACCTCCACTCGGCCGGCCTAAAACTAATAAAAATTTTAGATCACCTATAATCATACCACTTGGAAGTAATCAGTATTAACATTTTAGTGTATAATGTTTATAATATTTCTCTCTAGTCTTTTCTAGTTCATTTTTAGCACAGTTGAATTGATACTATAGGTAACAATATAAAGAATAATTCTCTCTAAAGACATAGTTTTCCAATAATACCTGCTTTAATAAACCACAGGTCACCTTTTTAAAGGAAAGCATAGCATAATCTTCACCTGGGATAACCCCTGGCTTGTAGTATAGCCTCTAGGAGAAAAAACATGACCCAGGCTGCATACTGAGAAAATACTCCCCATTGGACTGTCGTGTTCCCCCTCCCTCCCACTAAAGGTCTTATGTTTTTGAAACATCAGTGCAAGGAAAGGAAGTACAGGCATAAATGAGCCTGATTTTTTTTTTCCTAAAATGTTAACAGACATTTATTGCATATGTTTTGGTACAGAGAGCTCTTTTCTCTCTAATCAAATTTCCTTACTAGTTAAAACCGAAGAGCATTTTTTAGGATTAAAAGATGATGAGAGGTATATAATACCTTTATTTTTGTGTAAGATTGATATATGATTGTAATGAGGATAAACGTAGCTTCATTCTTGCACATCAGCCTTATGATTCCTAAAGAACAGTGGATGTTCAAAATTCAACATCTTCTTCAATAACCCCCTGAAATTCCACCTGCTTATTTGCTTTGAAGATTGACCCAACTAAGTCAGAAACATGGCTCTGCACAAATTTTATTTGTGATCTCCTGATTAATTATTAACAAAGTCCCAAGAGATGTTTACTGTGGGCTATACCATTTTAAGTGTTCACTTGAACGTATTAGGAGAACTCTAGAAAAGTCTTTTTAGTTTATAAATATTATTTGTGTGAAATATGTAAAGAACTCTGAGCCTGAGCGATCTCCAAATAGACTTCTATAAATAACATTTTCAACAGCACTTTGAGATGCATATTGAGTCTTCCATTTGTTTAATATTGACCCATGAGGCCAATGCAGCATTCAGGGGTCCACAAGACCACCCTTACTTCTGGTGCCAGTTGTACGTTTGGAGGTCCCCAGGACCACTCTTAGGCTCAGTAATTTGCTAGAAAGACTCAGGACTCACCGAAAGCTTCAGTAGTCCCCCCTTATCTGATGGGGATATGTTCTAAGACCCCTAGTGGATGCCTGAAACCGCAGACAACACTGAACCTTACATTTACTATGTTTTTTCCTACACATACATACCTATGATAGTGTTTAATTTATAAATTAAGCATTGTAAGACATTAACAATAATTATTAGTAAAATAGAACAATTATAACATACTATAATAAAAGTTATGTGAATGAGGTCTCTCTCCAAGTGTCTTACTGTACTGTACTCACCTTTCCACTTAAAGGAAGCACCTTAGGGCTTCTCTCCGGTATGTCCGGATTGCCAGGATCACGACTCTTGCACTTCGGGGCCATAATGAAATCAATAAGGGTGACTTGAACACAAACACTGTGATAACGTGACAGTTGATATGATAACCTAGGCAGCTACTAAGTGACTCGCAGGCAGGTAGTATGTGCAGCATGGATACACTGGACAAAGGGATGATTCACGTCCCGGGTGGGATGGAGCAGGATGGTGTGAGATTTCATCATGCTGCTCAAAACAGCATGCAACCCAAAACTGACAAATTAGTTATTTATGGGATTTTTCATTTAATATTTTCAGACTGCAGTTGACTGTGGGTAACTGAAACTGTGGAAAGCAAAACTGTGGATTAAGGGGGACTACTGTATTACACTCATTGTAACATTTTATTACAGCAAAAGGATTTAGGTTAAAATTAGCCCATAGAAGAGATGTATGGGACAGAATCAGGAGGGTCCCAAACACGGAGCTTCCAATTGTCCTTTCCCAATGGGGTCATGGACAGCATTAACTCCTCCTGGCAACAGTACCCATGGAGTATGGCCAAGCAGAGACGCTCACCTGAGCCTTGGTGCCCAGAGTTTTTTATTGGGCTCTATCACATACACATGGTTGGCTGCCTAGATGGCTGAACTCAAGTCTCCAGTCTCCCCAGAGTTTGGATTCATACTACAGACCCAGAGCACCAGCCATAAATCACATTGTTCGACTATTTGGCATGGTCAGGGCCCCCAGGTAAACTAAGACACTCAGCCGTCAGGACATTCCAGAGGTTTAGAGGTTACCTCCCAGGAGCCAAAGGCAAAAGGCCAGGCCTTTCTTTGGGCAAGGTTAAATTCTTTACTACACAGGTAGGTTTTTTTTCTCACTTTTAATTTATGTCTCAATAATCGTATTCCTTTTGCTAATTTTACAGGCCAGAGGAAAAAAGCGACAAAAAGGATGGTTTCCCGCCAGCCATGTTAAACTTTTGGGTCCAAGTAGTGAAAGAACTACACCTGCCTTTCATCCTGGTATGGAACGGGTTAATGTGCATTTTATCTGAGAGAAGTTTTGTTAAAACTCACCAACTTCTTAGATTAGCTAACTCAGAAAAATATTAAAAATTTGTCCTTTCCTTACCTCTGCCTGAAAGTATGTTACAGTGAGAACTTCCTTTCTAAAAAATTCTGCATAGAAACAGCCAACTGTTCAGTGATACTTGAACCACTTCTTTCCTCAAAATTTTTCGAAGTGGAATTACTATACTATCATATTCAGAGTTACACAGTTCACTTGGATTTTTAACTGTAGTTGGAAATTCTTGGTTTTGTAAAACAGGGATTGGGGAAGGGATGGTGAGAGAGAACAGCTGAAGGGAAATTTTAAGCTACTTTTAACATTTCACATTAGAGTAATTTAAATCTTAGGGGAATTTTAACTTGTGATCCTTGTAAGAATAATTAATTTGTTACATTTGTTATTTTGTTCTTTTTCTGGTAGTGTGTCAGGTGATTGCTATGTATGACTATGTGGCAAATAATGAGGATGAGCTAAATTTCTCCAAAGGACAACTCATCAATGTTTTGAACAAAGATGATCCTGACTGGTGGCAAGGCGAAATCAATGGGGTGACTGGTCTCTTCCCTTCAAACTATGTTAAGATGACAACAGACTCAGATCCAAGTCAACAGTGTGAGTAATATCAAACGATTTACCTCTCGACTAGTGCAAAAGCTCGAATATGCAGCACTGCATTTATTACTGTTCTGGATCAGATATTAAACTCAGCACTCTTAGCAGATAATATATTAATGTTTAAAGTCAGAAAATGCAAAAGGAAACTTTTCAGAAGATCAAAAATTATACTGTTCCATTTTAAATACTTTTTTTCCTAGCCTCAGACCTTACTATTAGACTTTATCTAAAATGTTTATGATTTTTGTGTGGGTTCTCTGGCATGAAAGCAATCTAGACTGTAATTCCCCTTTGCCACCATGCTTTTTCAACATCCACTGATCTTTTTCAGCTCAATAAAGAGTAGCTAGTAATTGCCCCATTTACTATCAAAAGTTGCCCTTTTAGTGTACAGGTGCTACCAACTTGCCACCTTTCCGTTTATCTCCCACATGTTTACACATCGTCCAGGTTAGAAGAAAATTTAAAACCTGTTTAAATTGTTTGTTTTCAAAACTGTCATTAGGTGATTTTTTTTTTTTTAGATAGATACCTCATCCACAAGCGATATATAAATCAATATTTGTTTCACTATTTTTGGAACAAGGGTCCAGATCTCAAAGTGTGATATCTGGCTGGTATTACATAAAATTACCTCTTGTCAATTACCCACCCTTTCTTATATTTGACAGCGAACATATATTAATACTAAATTAAAGAATAAATAGTGCATAAAAATAGTTTTTACCTTTATAAAATGGATGTCACTTTTCCCCAGCCTTTTGATTTTTTGTTGTTGTTGTTTAACAAAATACATCATGATTTATATTTTGGTCATTCTTGTGAAGTTATCTAAAATAGTTAGCCTTTCATTTTAATTTAATTTCTGAGAACATATAATTGGTAACCCAGTCAAAGCTGAGATATGATTCAGTGCAAACATTATGCATTTATTTTATACTATAATTTTGAAGTATTCGTGCATTATTTTCACTTTGGCACTTCATTCTGGGAGGAGACTTTCCTTTAGATAAAGCAACTAAATTTCCCAGTTTGGAGGTGAGAGGAGTCCAGTTTTTTATGGTTTAAACAGTCTCAAAAATTTCTCACAGTTTCAGGCGAAGTGGTAAAGAAAATTATAACAACTTGGGTTACCTAAATGAATGACCATTTTAAGCTCTTCCGATGGCTTGACAGTTTTTAGTGCTTGCCAGTTTATCTTATTAATTAGAAATAATGAGGTGCCTGAAAGAGGAAGATACTTTTCAGACTTACTAGGTCTGAAAGATCTTTGGCTTTGGTAGTGATTCTGGAAGCGTTCCAGTATGTCAGTACATTTGGCTTTTATAGTTTCTTTGATGTAAAGTTATGGTTTTCAAATGTGTTTTTTTGCTGTTGTTGTTGTTGTTTATCTTGTTTTCCAGTGGTGGAACACTTTTTTCTAATTAAGTCTTCTATAATAAGAGATATAAAGAACAAATAAAAGCTGTTCTAAAGGAAAAACAGCCAGGCATTATATGAGTCAGTGAAAACCAATTAAATTTTAGATTAGCTATCATTTGTGTTTCTCGGGCCCTTATAAGTCTTATTTTCATTTTATTATGCAATTAGGATACAGTCATGTTCCACACAATGACATTTTGGTCAACGACAGACTGCATGTATGACGGTGGTAGGTGTGTAGTAGACTATGCCATCTAGGTTTGTGTAAGTGTACCCTTTGATGTTCGCACGACGACAAAATCATGTAATGATACATTTCTCAGAATGTATTCCCAGCATTAAGCAACGTGTGACTATATTTTTTAAAGGTCAAGAATAGTAATAATTCACATTTATTTAGCTGATGTTGCATGTTATTAGTCAAGTTTTTTCTCACCCACTTAATTTGCTTTATGTTCATTTTATTCCTCATTTTTCTTTTTATAGGACCCAATGTTGTCTTCCAGTGTGAAAGCACCCCAGAGACCCACTATCCAAGTTTGACTCTAGCGTGGAGGCAGGGCAGGCAGCCCTGATCAAATATCTCCTACACAGTCCATTAACTTCGTTTGAATGTTAGAGCCACTTGTGATTATTTCTTTGTGTTTCTAATTTACAGTTAAAATTTATTTGTAACAAATTAAAGGATAGTGGGTCTTTGTGTGGCTTTCCCTGCTGTTCACTCTGGCATCTTTTAACATTTTTTTTTTAATTTGGTAATTGTAGGTCATTAGCATGCACATTGAGTTTGCCCTTACATGGTGGGAATTCAAACACACAAAGACCCACTATTTGCACAAACTATTCTCACTGGTGTGGAATGGGTTGCCATGCTTTTTTTAATGTTATTGCAACATGTATATTCATTACAGAATTCAGATGAAATTTGCTTATGTTTTGCTATTATGTTTTATCTAATCCTAATCACAGTGAGCTTTTAATTGGTTCAATACGTGATTTGTTCCCAAATATGCACTGTTTACTCTATTACTTTCTAATATGCCGCGATTCAGTATTTAAATTTGCAAAAGGCCAAGAACTGGAAATAACCTTTTCTCTATTTTCTGTGTATTTTGGGGTGGAAGCAATAACACTTTGCGGGAGCTTTTCTTATCTCATAAGAGGAAAGTGACCTGCCCCATCAGTATGTGCAGAGTGGGATATGTTTCATCGTTTGAGCTGCCCAGGAATGGCCCTGTACTGTGATAGTTCCCTTGGGATCTTTGTATGCTCTGGGCTAATAGAGATATTACATCATCTCCTGCAGCAATTAATTATTACTTCTTCATTGATGACCTAAAAAAAGAGTATTTTTGAGGAATGAAAGGCTCCTATCATTGACAGTGAGATATGAAAACTTGGAAGCTTACAGCATTTATATCTATAATATATTTCATAGTCAAAGTTCATGTTATCTATTTTAATTAGGTGACTACATGTCCCAGGTCCCAAAAAGACCCTGGTTGACATTCTTCTTAATGTATTTAGAAAAGATCATAAGGCATCCTTGAAGAGTTTAAATGCCCCTGAAGCAGGCGTACAGGCTCTGTCTAGTCAAGAATGAATTTGAGCGAAGGAGAGAGGTGTGAGAGCTGGTGTTCCTCTCTGTCCATGGAGCTGCTTTGAGGCTAGAGACTGACTTTACTGTCCAGAGTTCTCTGGCTATATCTGTTCTTCAACCACATTGGCTTCTTTGGCATAGGATTTTACTTCTTTTTCTTCTATGGAAAACACTTTAAAGGTAATAGACATTATTATAAACTAATAAATGTGAGAGTACTTAGCTAAAACAAAAAGGACTTTTAGTGGACAGTATTAAACTGTATTTGAAAATCAATGAAAAGTTTATGCAATTTAAAATGTTTACAAACTGCAGTGCAATCTACTGTTTCTGAATGTCAAAGTAGTATCAGGAAAAGTGTACATACAATCACAGTGTCCTATTTCCTCAAGAGTTCTTTAAGAAGAGTTAAATATGGTTTTATATCTCTGAGTTTAAGTTAGAGGCATATTTTGTGCAATATTTATGTTAATGTGCCTATACATTATGAGTGAATCATTTCAGTCGTACATTACCTAAATCATAACTTTACGACACTTGAGAAAGAGTCAACAGTTTAGTTAGAACTTCACAAAGTTCAAAGTCTGTGTTCCAAAATACTTCCCGTTATTAGAATGTGCGGTGATAGGTATGTGTGCCCTGGGGTAGGTATTTGTAGTTATTAGATCACCTCAATTTTCAGCATTTGGCATCATCATGATGCTTTTATAAAATATGACGTTAATAGGAAAGCAATAATATCACTTCACAGGTGGAATAACAGATTTGCCTGCAGTCACTAAAGGACACAGTACAGAGATTGAGTCCTTGTGATTTTAACTGATCTTCCAAATTGCACAGATTACTTGGTCTTCTTGCCTTTTATGTTCTGAACTCTCTGCTTTTGCACCCTTTAGTTGGGTGCAGATTAAGGACAGTTACTTTAAGTCCATTTTAAACCCTAAGGTTAGAAATCAGACCACTGCTAATTAGTCACATGATCTGGTATAACATTTTCTCTTGACGATTTTGCATTTGGACTTATACACTGATAAACTATTTCAAAGGTATTTTTATAGCTCAAATCATATCACTTTTACATTGACAAATATACATTATTATGAATGACATTCAGATGGAGCTTAGCATCTATAATCAATTTGAAAATAACGTATTCGTCAGGTACCTATGGACTAAATCACATAATGGCATATTTATGCTGAATGTCGACCTGGGAAAACATACCTACTGTATTTACTGAAATACCTCTCTTTGTGTAGGTATTTTGTCATATATTTGAGAGAAAGCTAAAAGTAAAGGAAATAGTATGACATATAATAATAACCTGTCCTTAAAAGTGCATGCGATACCTCATATTCAGCCATGTATTTACTCTCTTCCTCATCAGTGTAAAAAGGCAGCTTTCAGATTGCTTAGAAAGCAACATTAAAAGGAAAGAGTTTATCAGGAACACAGAATTTTAAAATAGGAACACAATGGAATAAATCTGAATTCCGTAGGAGGTAAAGTCTATTTAAAAATTGTAATAATTTTAAAAGTATGTGGCTAAATCTGATGGGTTTTCCAGCAATGAAAAAAGTCAGTTCTAAAAGCAAAGCTGATTTTTTAGAAAATATGAAAATTTAAATCAACCCATTATAGAGTTTCCTCTAAAACTTTTATCTCAGAGTTATTTAAAAATAATAAAACTATTAAAACATTGTAACTGCTATTTTAGTGTTTTAAAATACAATGTGAATACTGATAGTTTAAAATAAGGAAAGTGGGAAAAGTAGAGAAAGACATGCCAACACCCATCCAAAAGCTTTATTTGCCAAATTTTCTTAGAATGAATTTCACCAAGTTAGAAATCCTTGTAAATAGACTCTATAATGGAAATACTGAGAGACTTTTATCTAAAGTGGCATTGTTGGATGCTGCTGTGATGCTACTGTAATGTAATAAATTATTAAGTTGTTGCAAAGTGCTGTTTTTT